GGAAGATGATTTTGCCGAAACATTGATGTATTCAGAAGTGCCCTCTTAACCACAATATGCCACAGAGCAACGTGGCAGGGTACAGCTAGTACTCTATATAAACGATGCCACACACATATATTGAACTCAAAGGGAGTGGAAGCGAGAAAGTGTGGCATTGTTGTGCGCTCTCCTGTTGTTGATTAATAATGCAGTCGATGTTGGAACAATGGATTGGACGGATTGGGGTCATGGCTCTGTCCAGTTTGGTCTCTAATACAGCTTTCATATGCAAAGAGCATCGCTATTGTTTTACCAAAGGCATTTAATAACTTTGAATTCAAAGGAAGGGGGATTTAGATTGTCCAATATACGGGTAAATTAAATTCTGGTTGCAGAAAGGCTTAGTATTTGCAGTGTTGTTAATAATAGTGAGCAATGTGTAAAGGCAATGGCTTTGAATTCATACAACATTTTAAAACAGCCTTTTTCATATTAAATAATAAACATTTACTGTCCCTTTCATAGTTTAAGTTCCTTTATATCATAATATAATCTAGGAAAATCACATTGCTATCTGCAATGTCTTTCTGCACCTTCTCACACCTTTTATGGCTTTACACATTCCCATATCAAGCTCCCCCTTCTTTGCATATTAAATATTCATAACTTTGTGAATTCAATTTTAGCAAGCATTTTCCATACCCCCGGATCCAATCAAGATATTCCCCCGACTTGGACTCCGATCCCTGCTGGACCAGGTAAACACTTTAAGGTGTCATATGGAGCTAATGTGCTCGAATCTGGGTGGCAAAAGTTTTGTCGACAATGAAACCCTCGCTGGATAGAGCTGACCACAGCTGGATATCGCAGGTGTCGGCAGGACATAAATTCAAATTTGCAACAGAACTTGTTTCCCAACTGGAACCGGTGGAAGCGAAGGGAAAAAATTGAAATTAAAAAATTTTCACCAACAGGACAATAACAAGGCACCCACATCAAGCATTCGTCCTGTTGGCATTTGCTTTCACTCCATCTCTGGCACCGTGTTTGCAACTGTGTTTGCCAATGTCCTTCGTGAGTCCTATGTGCGTGTGGGTGTGTATGAATATTCGGGTGGCCCTTGCTCCGTTATTTGCTCGCATTACAATTACCGAAGGACCGAAAGGACCTCGCCGCCCCGTACATGCACGTGTACACGTACGCAATTTGTTAGCACACCTCCACCTCGTGTTAGTTTGCCCAGTTACACAAACAAATTAATTTCAGCCAGACACTCGAAATGTTTAGAACATTTGCCAATGTTTGTAATTGAATATTGCGCCGGGACCTGTCCGAATGTCCTTCCCCTCTCAATCCACCCCACTCCCTCACACACCATTTGGGTCAAATTATGCAAAAGTAATTATGATTACGGCATCTCATTGTCGATGGAACGCTAACTAACTTGAATCGTGACCTGGCTGTCACAATAATGGGCAAAATGATGCGTGGCATTGCAAAATTCACTGGAGAATTTAATTACAAAGTGCACATTTTTCGTCAAAATACGAAAACAGCGAAATGTTGTCCCAAATAATTAGTGCCCAGTAATTGCACGAAAAATAATGATGACATTGAATGATGGCGCAAAAGATACTGAATAACATTTATAATTACTCTTATCAAACCAGTGAGCAGTGCATCGAATATTTCTAAATAATGTAGGTAATTAAAGTAAAATGGTTTGTAGAAGGAATTTGTCATTTTCTTGGATGAGCATTGTCAAATATGTAAATTAAATTAAACCCTAAATGCAGAGACTTGTGCGCAGGAAATCTCATGATTTAATTATTATATTTAATTTCATGTGACCATTAAACACCTTTAATACAGATATAATCAACTTAAATTTCTGCTTTCTAAATACTTTCAATCAATTCAATAAATATTATAAACGGAGAGATTTAAATATTTCTATATTAATCCCATTCCAATTAAGTGCAAATAAAAACATAGCTAAGCCTAATATATTTACTCAGAATCAAAATCCTGATAATTAAATATTAACATTTAACCACATTTAATCCAGCAGATTATATGCAAATAATTCAGTAATTAAAACTTGTACAAACACAAATGTTAAATATTAAAGCCCATTTAAGTCCCATAAAAAATACATCAAATTAGGAACAAAGTTAACGTCGAGAAGCCGAAGTTTGTATACCCTTGTATTTTGCCAAAGGATCATGGATTCAAATGAAAAATCGGTACTCTATTGATTAAAATGTTGATAGTAAATCGAAATATAAATTGGTTTTCGGCCTTCGTATGCCACCAAGAAAACCAAAAATTTAATTTATATTCTTATATGTGCACTTTTTGGGTAAATCAAAGTTTTTCAAAAATCATAACTATGCCAAAAATGCGTTAATTTTAAGTCGGAGTGCATTTCTGCATACTAAGTTTTTAAATTTATAAAATTTTTTGCTAACTTTTGACAATTTTAACGATTTAACCTCTTATCTTTTTTTTTAACTTGACCAAGAATATATATGGTTTATAGGGTCGGAAATGATTTCTTCCTTACGTTTCAAGCTTCTGACTGAAATTATAATACCCTGCAAGTATATAAAAATATGTATTTGCTGTGTTTACTATTTTATTTATTTGCCAGCGGAAGTTTTGAAGCCACGCCAGTACACAGGATATTAAAAGGACACGTAGTCATGCATGTAAAGTGCCAAGGGTCGCATATGGAGGCTGTCCTCACATTGCTTTTCCCTCATTTCCCATGGTTGATTTTTTTTTGCTGGCTCTGTGTTTTTGGTTGGCGACAAAATTATGGGACAACGAGGGCACTGACTTGCCAAGAACAGAAGAGAAAAAAGTCATATCCGAAAAGTTTTTGCGCTAATTTTTATTTTTAAGTTTTTGGCCGCGAACTTCTTTTGAGAGCTGCCAGGATGTTAAGTGTTAAAGGCGCCTTTGTGGGCCACAGAGAGAATTTTAATTAAAACTCCTAATGAATTTTTAACACGAACTCCGGCGGAACTTAAAGAGCAGCAGTCGGAGCCAAAAAAAAGGAGCAGGAGACAATCACCAGAGTCAGCGAATTGCCTGTGGTTGTTCTTCGCTTGCTTTTCCTTTTCCCGCTTTCCACTCTGTGGCTGAAATTATGACCACAGGAAAAGCGCCAAAAGTCATCACGTGACCACACAATTGTGTGGTCAACACGTTGACCTCCTCTGGCAGCGCTTCCCACAAGGATCCCTTCTGGTCCCGGCTCTCATCCACATCCTGCCGAAATTCGTTGCTAATGACATTTCAACTATTTTAATCTTCTTCCTCGCTTGGCATTAATTAAATTGCAATTTCTTACGGCTGCGGTTTTCTTTTCCACTTCAAGCATGTGAGAACACTGACACAAGCAGACCCGAAAATGGAAAGGCAATCCTTGGAGATAAGCCCCAAACAACTTCCGATTAAATTGACAAGCCAATTAGCTAAGGACTCTCCGGGCAGACCATAAATACTTCGAATATCCGGCGAACAAACAACGGCAGGAGATTGCATAAATCTCCAACTGGAAGGGCACACACAATAAAAAAAACAAAAAAAATACCAGCGGAAATGGGAAAGCAAGCGATTGCCAGGATAACAAAGCGCCAAGGATACCGGCTGTCTGCATTAACCCGATGGCTGCTCTTGGCATTATTTAAAATCACAGAGCCTTCAAATTGCATTTTAATAGAATTTATTGCGCCGAACCGATTTCGGCAAACGAGGAAATACCCAGAGCGGAAAAATCGCAAAAAAATCCCTTGGAAAAAAGCAAGTAGTAGTAGGGAGGAGGAGGAGAATAATTGCGCGAGACTGCAACACTTGACTTTCCATGTTGTTTGAAGCAATAAAATGCTATTCTCAAGCAGTCGCATTGATATGCCAGCTAAAGGAAAGTGGAAACCGGGAACCGGCAACTGGGAAATGGAAGCTGCCGGCAGGCTAAGGATGGCGCGAAAAGGATACGAAAAAGGATAACAATGCCAGCGCTCCCAGCTGAGCGAGCGCTCAGGCCCAGGCTCAGTGCACTGGAGCGCATCAATTCCGCCATTTCACAATTCAAAATGCGAAATCCGTTGCCAGGACGCGAGATGCAACCAACGGCAAGGAGAACACAAATTATTACTTGGCTTCGCTCCAAAATGTTTTAAATTACAATTTGCACAATATATTTATACGTCTTGCACAGCAGGTCGCTGGGAAAATGGTGAAAAGCGGGGGAGGCAAAGCAGATGGACAGAGGGAAACTGCACCCGCAGGAAGCCATTTAGTTCGGCTTTCCACCACCACCCCCTCCAACCCCTGGGGCGAAGCCATAATTCTTCCATAAAAAATCAACAACCAAATGGCAACTGTTGTCTGTCGGCCTCAAGATAAACTTTGCTGGCCACTTTTGTAAATAATTTATCTGCTCTTCGTCTTGGTCACCACTGCGTATGCTTGATAATCGTAATTAATGTAAGAGCATACCCAAAGAAATGGTCAAGAAAGCAAACAAGAACGGAAAATTAATTGAGGAATAAAAAAAAGCTATGTAAATATATGTATAACTATTTCATAAATGTGATTTGCTTTAAATATTTGATGTAAATTACTGTAGGCGACTTTAAGGAATTCGCAAAGACATATATTGAATAAATTACAAGCTTACGTTCACAGCTTTCTTGTTTTATTAGTGTCTTAATTACCGTTTTAAAGCATTAATATATAATATAGTTACACGCTTAAAAGCTTAAATTTGTAATTCGTTAGCTTTAAATATACATATTTTAGTTATTTCATTACATTTTCATGGGCACTATAGTTTTTATGGCAAAACTTGAGAACCTTTTTAAGCAAAGCAACGTGACTAAGTAAAAATTAAGAGAATATATTACAAATGAAAAAGATAGGCTAGGTATATATAAAATAAGTTTGCTAACTATAATCCCTAGTATTTTGTGATCTCAGCTCACCGAAACACTATACCCTGCTTAAAAATGTCTTTCATAATACTGACTCTGCTCCTAGCAGTAATCCAACTATTTGGCCAAATAGACAACGTGTTTGGTTTTGAAATAGACATCTCTGAAGCTCCTTGGCAGGCATCAGTTCTGGTGCATGACAAGCATCGTTGCGGCGGGGTGATCTACAAGGATAATGTCATCCTAACCATTGCTCAGTGTGTCAAAGGTGCTAGAACGGGTAACCTTGCGGTTCGAGTGGGCTCCGACCAGATGGATCTCGGCGGTCAAGTGGTACCCGTAACAAAGGTGGTCATGCAATTGATGGGTTCGCGTCCCAGTGATGTGGCCATCCTGACTCTAAAGGACTCCGTTGAATTGAACGACAACGTCAAACCCATTGAGTTGGCCAGCAGAACCCCAGGACGGGCACTAAGGCCTCAGTCACTGGCTGGGCAAATGTGGTGGGTGAAGAGCCTGCTGAGGAAATTTTAATGAAAACGAATCTCACCATTGTTGAAAAGCGAGATTGTAGGGGAAATGATTACCTTATCAAGCGGATCTTGAGTCTCGACGAACTGTGTGCCTCGAAATCGAACTCTTCGAACCTCATCTGCCAAGGCTTTTCCGGGGGACCGTTGGTTTCCGATGGAAAACTGATTGGCATCGGATCCTGGAACTCCAAATGCGACTTCCTAAGATCGCCCACTGTATATGCTGATATTCCCATGATTAAAACATGGATCAGCTCAACCACTACGATAGTGAACATTTTATCATAACTAAAACAAATATTTGCACAGCTATAAAAGCACTTGTGAAAAAAATAAACTGATTTACGTAATCAAAATCCAACCTCGTTTTTAAATAAGTCCCAAATCCATAAGCCAAAATCCAAAAGAAAATCTGTGACAAAATTGGTTTACCGAAAAACAAAGTAACCTGCAGCCATATTTATATTTGCAAATTGTTATCGTTTATCCAAAAAATGTATACAAGCATCCAATTTATGTTTTGTTTTGTTGCTGCATTGCCGCTTGTATTTCAAAATTGAAATTTAATTCATTTGCATTTTATTCTATGATCTGGGGAGTGCGCCACGGATGAATATTATTAATACGGCCCATAAGCCCAATAAATGCTCATGATTTCGCGTGCTGTTGGTTGTCGTTGTTCTCGCCGTTGTTGGCATTTTTGTTCCGGCTGTCACTGGATGCTGTGCATTTTTTATGGTTATGAGCTTTATTGTAATGACCATTAAAATTGGCATTGTTATGACCGTTGTCGGCCATGAGTTGTGCTCCATGAGCCATGTATGTATGTAGGGGATTTGACCCACAGAGAATGACAGAGGGAAATAAAGCCAGGGATGCAGCGTAAATCGGATTGGTAATATTTGTATAGGTTTAAAAATGTTGGGATTATTAAAATATATATATATATCCTTAATATACTCCATAAAATTAATTAAATAATTTGAAATATTGTATTAGTTCACAAATAACAAATATCTTTTTTTAAGCTTGCCTGTAAGTGCTTTTAGGAGTAATTAGAACCTAGAATGATCCCTAATGCACCACTATTTTCTGTTATTGTTGCCATATTCCACCAATATCCTTTGTGTCCTTTGTGGAGCCCTGCCCAAATCAACGGGAATACCAGCTACAGATGCTGCATTGTCAGCTTAATAATTACAATGCACACACGCACAAGCCGTTGCGTCTGCATGCAATTTGAAACAGGGAAAACTCGCTGGCTGGCTGGTTGGCTTGCAGAAAACTGAAAACTGAATACGGAAAACTGAAGGGAAAAACCTGCTGGAAAAGTGGCAGACATTTGCACGTCGTCAGTGTCGACACATTAAAATAAATGAGACTTTTGCCTTAAAGCAGCAGCTGATGTTGTTGCTTTTGCTGTTGCTGGTGCCGCTGCGTTGCAATTATTATTGCCTCTTTTGTTGCTATTGTTGTTGTTATAGCAAGAACATTTTCACGTTTTTCCCAACGCCTTGAAAATTACACGCAAATTACAATGCATAACGAAGAAGGTTTTCACAGTGCGAAAGCGTAACTTCCTTCGACTTTGCATTTTCCCCACAAATACCATACCTTCCATGACCTCATTTACCCCTATTTTAACATACAACAGAAACAAAAAATAAATGGGGAAAAAGAAAATAAAACAGAAAACAGAAAACACAAAATGAGAAAATGCGAATATTTGAGTCTGCTTAATTACATTGTAAAATGCATTGGCAGGAGGTACGATTCATTGCCAGACGCTGCAACGCTTTGTTGGAACTGCAAATTCCGATCTGCCGTTTGGGAAACCCAGGAAAATTCCACACCTTTTTGTTAAATCCACTTCCCCCTTTTCCCTCTTTCTTTGCGGTAATTAAATTGAACTTTTGTCTGCGGCTTTTTGACAGCTGAATGCATTTAACAATTCGACAGAGTGTAAAATGGCACAAAGACCATCAGGAAACTGTCTGAAACTTATTGCCAGGTGTATAAGTTTAGGGTTTCAATGCCACTAAGAGTTAAGATTTTAATGCTTAAACTGCATTTAATTATTACAAATTATTCGGAAAATCCATTAATTTATATTTTAAGTAGAAACCTCAATATTTATATTGTAAACAGCTAAAATGCAAAATACTAAAATAGAAATTTCTCAATAAACCTGCGCAAAATATATATATTTAAAATTTCAAATTGGTAAAACCGCAGCTGTGACAATTACTTTTTTGTAGGTCAGCAATGATGTAGGTCACACAGAGTGCACCACATAGTGCTCATGAATTTAATAATTTAATATTGAATGTATTTCCAATAATTAAATTCATTACACACATTTTTCGTCATGATTAAATTAATATTTTGCTGGGGAACAAAAACCCAGAGGGACCTATATAATGGCCACCATTGGGTAGCCAAGGATTCCGGGCAGCATCAGTGTATGGCAACATCACGTACATCAGGATGCCACAGGACAACAGGGTCCTGGCCCCTCTGTCCCCTGTTATTTGCTTACTGAAATTAAAAAAAAAAATACACAAAAAATGTACCATAAAAATTCATAGTCTACTTTTTTGGGCTGCCCTTACGATCACGCTTCCTTTTTTAACGTTGCATTTTTTAGCCTCAAATACGTATATGTATATATATATATATATATATATATATATATATATATATATATATATAAATGCTTATGTCCGTGTGTGTATTTACATATATCCTGTTATTTTTTTTATCTTCTTCCCGTTGTTTTGAGCGTTTTCCCATTTTCGCTGAGTTGCTTTTGTTGCAGCCAGCAGAAATTTCTGTGGCATGCTGCCAACCAATTTTGACGTGATGCCAGTAACACGTATATATATATACATATATCTTTCTATATGTGTACATATGTGTGTGTCTGTGTGTGTGCTCTAGTGTGTGTCTTTGGATATTTGCCATGGTGTGCTTGTCACTTGTTGACGGCGTGAAACTGAAGCCAACAGCAACAGTCGCTCGTCCTTCGGCTGTTGCTCCTAAAAGTGGTTTATTGGGTTAACGGTTACGGTTACGGGTAGCCTTAAAGTTATAGCTTCCAGGCACTGCTCAGACTTTTATATCCTGCGAATCAGTGTACGGCGAGGAATTCGGCATTAATCCGATTTTGAAAGGATTTTTAGTGGTAAAATAGTTGGAAAACTTTTAATGGAAGCTGAAATGGTTAAGGGAGAAATAAAATAAATGTGATGTAAGAAATGTATAAAAGAAGTGTAAAAAGCATGAATGCATTTAAAAATATTTATAAATAATGCAAATAAATAAAAATTATTTTTTTTTAACAAATCAAGACTTTGAAAATCTGATAACTAAACCAAAAAAGTATTCATTTCAATTCAAAAAGCTTTCTTATGTTACTTTTTATTATTTTAATAAGTCTGCATACTTAATTTAAAATATTTAAAAAAAAAATTAATTTTTGACAATTTTTGAACATTTTTTGAAAAAAATTTGGATAGAATAGAACGACTTGGCTCTTAATGCTGATCAGAAATATATAAGATTTATAAGATCGGAACTACTTTATAGCCTTTCAAGGGCATAAAAACTGTTATCAAGTCTTATTAATATCTTTCTAGTTATCTTGACTTTAATAATCAAATCACACAGAATACAAAATTACTTAAATGCCAAAATCAATTAACATTTTATCAAGAAAACCAATCCCCAAGCTATAACTATAAAGAATGGAAATTGAATCATAAATATGCCCATCTTCCCAGAATTCAACGCCCACCTCTGTCGCAACTCACAATGGCGTGAAAACTCACTGTGTTGAAAAAAAATTCCATTTTAATTTCCATGCCCAAGTGACACAACAGTCAATCAAAAAGCAGGCCACGGGGGACAGGTCAGAGGGCACGCTGCTACCATAACTCCACCTTGACACCTTTGTGACCCGACGGCACCCGCTGCTCGCGGATATTTATGACAGAAATTTAAAATTAATGATGTGTGACATGGAATTGTCGCCAAAAATAAAACGGAGAGACGGGGAAAAAGTAATGGTGAAAAATTAAACAGACAGAAAAGCTTACAGAAACCTTGAGGACAAGTGAGCCAACATTCGATTTAAGTATGATGCAGCAGACATTCAGTTACGTCTTTTTTCTGATATTAAACATTTACACATTTCCTAGAAAATTGCTAGACAAAAAAATTAAATTGAAATGGAATGTCCTGAGAATGGACCCCTGGAATTGGTTCAGCACGACTTTGCCAAGTTCATAGCCTGCGATCTGAAGAAAAGGAATTTGGAAACCTGTCGCAGCAGTCTCAAAACTACTTGCCAGAAACCCTACAGGATATATGCCAATAATAGGACTTACCTGGCTTGCGAGGTCAAAGGATCACTGCCAGAAACCTCCAAGTGGTCTCATCCTGCAAAACTCACAAGGACATTGCCTAAAATAGACTCTAGAAAAAATGAGAAGCTTTGCAATACCCAGTGGCAGTGGAGCGGCGCTAAATATTGTATAGCTCCTTCATCAAAACAAAGCCTACCTCAAAAAAGATCATCTGAAAAGGTTTTCCCCCGATCAGTAACTAAGAAATTTCAATATCAACCCGAGGCTATAAAGAGATCTGTTTTAGAAGAAACAAACAAGTACAGGAAACTGCATCAAGCGCTTCCTTTGAAAATGGATGATGAAATTTCTAATTACGCTGAAGCCTGGGCAAAAGTAGGTGGCATTATTATATATAATATTATTATTTTTATTATTTTAAATCCTCTCTGTAGCACCTGGCTTACTATGATCGCCTTGAAACCCGCCCTTTTCCCATTTATGGCGAAAATATTATGTGTATTCGTAAGCCACTGTTTTCCATCGAGCATATGATGAAGCTGTGGTATCAGGAAAAGTATCATCATGACTACATAAATCCCCGATTTAGCCCATACACTGGACATTTCACTCAAATGGTGTGGAGGAATACGAAATACCTTGGCGTGGGAGTGGCCTCCAAGTAAGATAACTCCTCTAACCTAAAATAATAAAAATTAACTATCTTTCAACCTCAGCGATTACCGTATTTGGATTGTGTGCAATTATGATCCGCCTGGGAATACAAGAGGCCACTTTCAGGAGAATGTTCTGCCCCGAAGACTACTTTTCTATGAGTCCACAGAAGAGGAAAATGAAACAAAGAAAAAGGTCCCATCATCAATAAAAAATCAAGTTAAGCTAAAGAAAGGCCATTGTAAGAAACTTAAATTTGCATGTGAATGCAGCAAAAGTAAACAAAAATTATAAGTATAAGAATGATAATTAAGAGTAAATCCCTGTAATAATGTTTTTAATCGAAATAAAACTACCCATAAATACTGGACCTCTGCTGATGTTTTTATTTACGAAGTTTTGGGAGGAACATTATCCTTGAACTGACCCACAACATTGCCGGCTGGATTGTAATTGCAAACCACCCAGGTTCTGTCCGCTCTGATAGAAATAAAGAACCAAAATATAGCTATAGATTCAAATCACAAATTAAAACTCACTTTCTAGCCACACCCGCACCAATTTCCTTGGAAGCCTTCCAAATTAGCTGAGTGAAATGTCCTGCAGTTGGCGCGAATTGAGCTTTCTGGAAGTCGTAACTATTGATTTCCCGATACCACATTTCCACTGGTAAATCCCCAGCGACATCCATTCCTCCAGACAGGAATATATTCTCACCGTATTTGGGATTGGGTCGATGTTGCATCATGTTCTTGTCACGAAGATGCTGCAAATTATGCAAAATTATTAAACAATAATAATTTATTAATTCCAAATACATTAGCCCATTCCTGTGCCACTTTATTTAGTTCCGCATTCACAGTTAAGGCCGGGCAGCCATGCATTGCCCGGTATTTATTGGTGGTATTGACGACCTCAGTCAGGAAGAGCTCATTATTGGCCTTGGTATCCACTCCACGGGGCCCTACAGCTCTTTCATGAGTTTTTGGCAGTGGCGGTGGCTGTCTTTTGGCCATTGTCAGTGGTTTTGTCTTCTCCTGTAAAGGATTTTGCAGCGCCTAGGTCCAGTTTTGCTAAATATAACTTATATCTAATAACATTAAAGCCAAACTAACTAGATTAATATCTTTTTCAGAACCATACATACATATGCAGAAGTATTAAATTCCCTGTTCATATATCTTTCTCTAAACACACATCGCTCAGGCTGGAAACCCTTTCAACCCGCTCACATAATCCAGCCTAAACATTGGTATTAACATTGTGATTGATACCGCAAACACAGAGTATGGGTGAGACTCCAGAGTCACAGGAATGAGCGGATGCATAGACACAGATTAGACAGACTGTCAGTGGGACGACGTTCCCGCATCCATATCCGGATCCACATCCACATCCACATCCACTTCAGCCCACTTCACGCACAGCTCCTGTCTCTGACGAATGGATTAACCAACGTGACGTATGAGTGATATATGAACGCAGCGCCCGGTTATTAATGAGCCACCGATTCTTTGTCTCCAACCTGAAGCACCATATGGGCAAAATCGGGGAATCAGAGTGGCATTAATTGCCGATTGAGTCGGTTTGAATAATGCCAGGAGCGAGTGACACGAAGGCCGCTTATCAACCGCCCGCAGCTCCTCTTATCGATGTGCAAATTTCGATGTTGGAGCACTTGGAACATTAAATTATTTACGTGTATCTGTGTGTGGGCTGGCCAGGGCAAGTGTGAATCCTTAATGAGTTGTGCAAATGCAAATCAACGGCGCTGTGCCCTACGGAGATTAAGCCAGTACAGTCCGATATATATATATGTGTGTGGGAATATAGCTGCAGGAGCAGCTCACTCACTCAAATTATCCTGGTTTTGCTGAGAGCAAAAATCGGGAGTGGAATACACTTCTCTGCCAGGCTCTAAATAATGGCCTCATAGATACGGATATAGATTTAATCCTTAAAATTAATTTAGCCCAGTTGTCAATTGAATTAAATGTTTACTTATTTTGATTAATTTAAAAATTGTGTATACATTAAATAAATTGATTTTAAAGACTTGCTGATAATCAGGATTGCAAATAATTGGAAAGTCATTAAATTTAAGCCTTAAATTCAATTGAATGAAAAGGTAAAATGCCCTGTAAGTTTCTGTTTGTATTTATGAAGTCGAATTAAATTTTGCTTATGCATTTTTACTTACTAAAGAAATAGTATTTAAATTTGAAGCATATGCAAGCCTTTAATACGGTTTAATCAAATGAAGTTTTCTCTTAACCTTGTCTTGTAATATTCATCATATTATCTAAGTTAAAAAATTTCACGCCTATTTAAATTTAGAATATGGTTTAATTTAAGGTGAAATTCTCTGCTTATTTTCTGATGTATCTCTAAATTTAGTTTTAATGCTTTCCAAAAAATGTTTGCATACTGAATAACATAGAATCAATTAATTTTTCAACATTTTAAACCCTTAAATATGGTTTAATTTGAAGCACAAGTTTCACTTATCTTTAAACTTAAATTATACTTTATTTAACTTATTTAGAGGTATCTCTACCCCAATATTACCCATTTAATACCTGAAAAAATCGCACTGGAGGGTAATCCTGTGCACTGCATTCCAGGTTGCCATGCCTACAATCTCTCTCCTCCCTTCATAAGGTGGTGGTCTTTCACAGCCGTATCATCATCCGCACAATTCACAATTGCGGTGCGGTGGTTCGGAGTGGAGTTCAATGGGTGCCGATCCGTGGTTGGGTGATTCCCCTTCCCCGGTGGTTGGGTGTTTGTGAATTGTTTGGGTTGTAAAACACCGGCCGCAGTCAAAGCGTAAAACCCAAAGCGCACACGTTACTTTGCTGTCGATTTAATTAATTTCGCAAATTTGGTTTCGTTTATTTATGCATTGCTGGGTGAAGGGGATAGGAGGGGCACCATATAAATACACGGATGCCGAGGATGTCCACCATGCGGGCATTATACACATCGAGGCATATATATATAGGTTCTGATATCTGGGCAAACAGTTCGCTCGCAATTTCATCTCGATTCGATTCACTGACAACCGCACGGCATCTGCTGCCGGATCCGCTCGATTGCACTAGCTCCGATTGCCAGGATTCTGGATTTAATTCCGGATTCCCCATTCATATGATTCCGCCGTGTTTTGTAATAAAGGAAATATCAAAAAAATAAAGTAGAACAAAGTCAAAGAGTTGCGTGTTTTTATGCGGCTTAAATGGGAACAAAAGCGGCGGAAATTAAATGTTTAACTAGCAAGCAGAAGTTTAAAGACCACATAAAAACAAAAATCTCTCTTCAAAAAATATTTAAAATACTAGCAAATAACCTTTTACTTTGAAACTTAACTATAATCTTAAATTGAAAGCAAGGATCAGAGTAATTCAGTAACTATTTCTCTTAAATGTTCTTGGCATTCATGTTACATCTATCCGTCAAAGGTTAATGAATTGCTTTTTATCCTCTTGACTCTTGACTCTCCCTGAATCCAATTTCAATTAGTCTGATGACATCCCACTTTCACTTTGACCTTAGGTAATGTCAATCAGCGATAAACTGCAGCAACAGAAATAGCTCACAAAAAATAAAAATCGAAAAAATAGAGCCTGTTCCCGAGAGCTCCTTGAATCCTTGATCCCCACGAAGGGCAGTCAAATGGAAATTTTCCACCTAAACGACATAAAATTTGCTACCAAATCGGTTTATGGCAAAGCAAAAACTTCTTTTTTTTTCTGCATTTGTTTTGCCAGCCCAGCCATATTTTCAGCGGTTTTTCCATCGACTAGACTTCAAACTACAAAAACAAAAAATTCGGCTTTGCTTTTGGCCAGACCCAAAAATTTCCATGAAGGACTTGTTGGCGTTGAAATTTTTGGAAATTCCATTTGCATGTGTGTAAGGGGAAAGGGATAAAAGCGTGTATGGGGTGGTAGCCATATTTTGCCCCTTTCGGCCATAAAAGCTAAAATTTTTGCGGCTCAAACGAAATGCAGCAAGAAGCGCAGGACGCGAAAGTGGATTACCAACGGTGCCAGACTCCTCATGGACTCCCCTCACGTCCTTCGTTACACAGGAAAAAGATTAAGGTATCACCTCAAACTTGGCTATTAAATAGTGTATACAAATATTACGTTAGTATAGTTATTTTATATATAAAATAATGAAGTTTCTTCATGAGATTAAAGTAGAAACAAGTTTTAGCTTTAACTTAAAGTGTAATTCATCGTATTTAAAGATTTCTCAGTTGGTTTATGTATATTGCATATATTGTACAATAAATATTAATTTTTGAAACCAAACTATATTTTCTAAAATGTTTCATTTCATTTTTGAAGTCTCCCTTACACACTTCTGTTCCAGATTTTTAATTTAATTATTTATTTAAGCTAAAAGAAATCTTAGCAAAAAAAAAGTAGTACATTAGTGAAAGTTCCTGCATTATTTTCCTGTGTAGTTAGGCTCTTCTCCCCCCGACTTGATCCCTGGAATCTGCTGTCACTCTGCCTGCATCCATTTGGCGCTGCACAACGTTGAGTGAATTCCAGGTTGCATGCACCTTTTGCCTCCACCTGGAGCTACCTGACTGCCTGCCTGCCGATTTCTGGGAGCCTGTTCGAAGTGCCACCTCCTGGCATGGCAGGAGGACGCAGGTGTCGGTCGAAGGGGTACATGGCCAAAGGACTGAGTGCCCCTCTTTGTCTATTCAATTGAGCGGGTTACACTGCGCCTTTCCTCCGGCTAAATGGCCTGGCCAAGGCCCAGGCTCCACTTTTTTTTATTGGCTTTGAGTTTCGATGCAATAAACTTGGCTAAAAGTTCTCACGTCAATCGGTTGCGTGGATTTTCCCACAGGCTGCCAACAAAGTGGATGTGAAAAGTGCGTGTATGTGAAAGGTGGGTGATGATGATGATGATGATGATGATGTGGGTAGAGACTGTGCGGAATGGAAATGGATTTTAAACTAAAACTTGGCAATTTGTTCAAGTAGCTGTTAATGTGGCTTAAAAAGGATAACATGCTGGAATATTATAGGAATTAACTTTGTTACAAAGTTATAATATTTACACGATTTAATATAATAAAGACACATGTATTCTTTTACATTTTTTCTTAGATTTTTAAGAATACATTCGACTAAACTCTATATCACATCAATATAATTTCTTGTTTAAAAATGTTTTCATATGTTATCAATTAATTGTGAAAACAATAATTGAATTATCCAAAAAACGAAATTGCAGTTCAATATACATTTAAAGAGAAAACTATTTCATTTTTCTGCTGCACTGAATGGCACTATTTTTTTGCATTTGAAATCGCTTTCATTGGCAAAGGCAGCTGCCAGTTTTTATTATGCTCATCAAATGGTTATAATTCAATTTTTCCAATCGAGAAAATCGCAGCACGAACCGATGTTCGCATACGTTAAATAAATGGCGAAATCCATAAGCACCATGGGACGCGCCCCCAAAATCCAACCAATTTCCATGGTTTTCCATGGGTGGCCAACTCCCAAAACTAGTGAAACAATCGTCCATTTTCAAGTCAGGGCCATAAATCATTGTGCCATTGCATTTGGTTGCATTGAAAGTTTTCATTTTCCCCTTTTGGCCTTTGTGCCATTTCCATTTAGTTTTGTTCGACGGCCGGAAGAAGGAAAAAGGGAAAAAGGGTTTCCCACGTTTTCTTGTTTTTTATTTAATACAGTTGACAGGCCCACATTAATCATACGCACTGTGTGCACATCGTGTGTGTGTTTTTGTGTGCACAGAAAATGTTTCTTTAAAAGCCTGCCCAAGAAATTTGTTGACATTTATTAAAACAATAAACAAATCAGGGCAGACCAAAAACCCACAAAAAGTATATGGTGAGGGAGTGGAAAAAGTGTAAACGCTGTGGGGAATTTCCACACATATACATGAGAATCACGTTCGGTGCATAAATATTTTAATTCTACCGAAAATTTGCTGATAGTTTTATGGACTCTCTCTCTCTCTTGGAAGACATGACCGAGAAATGCATTTCTATATATGTATGTTGGTTTTTATTTTTATTTATTTTCCTCAAAGCTGTTGACTGGCAAATAATTTATGCGCCTGCCTTGAATTTCAATTTATTTCACAATTCCCGCCCAGCAAAACAAAAACATTCGCCCAAGAAGATAAATTCAGGGACAAATGAAAAGTTAAAATTATTATTGTGCGTAAGTGAAAGCCTAATGGTTTGCGTTAAGCCTTCAGATGCGATCAAAGCGGATTTCAACAGTAATTGAATAAAGAGCAACCAATTAGGATTCTTAAAAAGATTATTTGATTATTTTGTGTGCAATTTGTTAGGAAAATATGATTCCTTTGTGCATTTTGTACACTCGACAAGTTGACTTCCCCTAAAGAAAAGTAATTTGTCACAAAATAAACTTCCATGGCAACCCCACAAAAGAAATCTCTCTCAAAGAAAGGAAACAGGAGTCGACGATGCATCAAATTTAAACAAACATATGTAAATATTTATTTACTCTCGCAATAGTTGCATTCATTCCCCTTGAGAACGAGAGAAAACTGAAGGTCCTCGTCCTGCCATGTCTTTCCGAGTTTTTCTCCCATCCCCCTGTCTTTTTTTTGCAACTTTCCGAACAGAAGGAACTGGGGGAAATTTTCGATTACCCACTTTTCCCCACTTACCTTTACCCTTCTGTGTTCTGTTTCCTGTTTGCCAACTCCCGCTGCACTTTTACCAAGTGCGCTCCATTGGGATGCAATTAAATACTCCGCATGAGCGGACAAATAGCAGTAGCTGCTCCTTGGGAAAGTAACGTAAAAATACCCTGGGAAAGCGGAGGAAAACAATATTTGTATTGGTTCGCTTTGTGAGCTCCTTGGACCTGTTTGTCATCTCGTGATTCTCCCATTGCAATGGTTGCAGTCTACTAGCATTTAATTAAAAAGCCAAAGGTTACATACCAGCTATTGAATTTTATACAGTTTGTTTGACTTTTCTGGGGTGTTAGTTTTGTGGTTAATTGGAACCTTTGAGTGGCTTCGATCAAATATATGAAGAAATAATGGAAATTTTACCTTTGTCAAGCATTCAAGATCTTGTAGAGTTGTTCAGGATGTCTAATTATATATGAATTTATAATTTATTAATTATTATTTATGATAAATCCAAGCAAGTGACAAGCACATGGTATTTGAGAAGTTTTCTTGCACTTCTATTTAAATATTCATTTTAAAAGTTGCCTGCTTGCATTTGGGATTGTTTTCGGGGTGTCCTGGTACAAGGATAGCAGCAGCAGCAGCTGTTGATTCGCTGCGTTGACATATTTTAATTTATAATGCAATCGCTGGCTCGGATCGGTGCTCCTTTTGGGGGCACCATGTCCCCACAGGGGCGAAGCCTTTAGCAGTTGCCCAACCCACCATAAAGATGTGTGCGTGTTTCAACAAATACACAGAGAGAAAATGCTAAATAATTATGTCTTAAGATAATATATAATTTATATTTGAGTTAAGTTTGTTTTGGAAGAGAATCCCAGAACATTTTTTACCGTGACAAAGCTGAAATGGATATGGCTAAGCACGCGTGTTGTGTCTATCCCTCGGATTCTCCGTTTCTCCGCTTCTCTGTGAGTGTTTGCTCTCGTGAGATTTACAACGTGACAGCGCACAAGTCCAAAAGTGGTAATGCAATGGGGCTCTAAAGGGGATCCAACCAAGGGGGGAAACTTCGGATGGGAGGAGAAGACCCCTTGGGTTGACCCAGGGGCTTGCACCTGGGGAAATGGAATGACTTCGACGACGACGACAGCGACACGTGCCAAGGACACTGATTTATATGTTTTCCATTTTTGTTTTATTAGCGGCCTCTCGTATCTCTTGCCGATTTTCCTCCGCTTTCCCTTCTCTCTCTCTCTCTCTCTCTCTCTGTTGGGGGAAAAACGTGCGTGGAATTAATGAGGCCTTTCCGCTATCTCATTCCGCCAGCTGAAAGCTGGGAAAAACTATTTCCACCACACACTTTAAAGCGGTCTGCTGAATGGGCGAATTAAAATGAGCATGAAATAATCATAAATTGCGCATTGGCGCATTAAAATTTCCATCGCTTAAAGTCAAGCTTCCATTTGCCAGACGATTGAGAGACCCGCGTAGGGAAATGGAAAATGGGGGAAAATGGTGGGGAAAATGAGGGAGGCGGGTCAGACAGTTACCCGACAGCTGTGGGCGCGACGCTGGCGGGCAATGGAATGAATAGGTAAGGCGGAAGCTGGCAGCTACGGCACCGGAAATGGCTGCGTATATCCTGGGATAGGAAGCCATCGCAATCGCCATCGCTGGCAATAGTTTTGTGGTGCTTTTGGTCGCAGTTGCATTTGTGTTTTACGATATGAATAGATCGGAGATTGCCAGGGGGAATACAGCAGGGCAAGGGCTTCACCAAAGCTGCGTGCCTTGGGGTGTTCTGAATTAATATAACGCTTTCAGTTCTTTTTGAAATACTAAATAATTTTCCAGACAATAAAAGTAGCAAATGATATAATATCTAAATAAACTATATTTAATAGTTTGTATTTTCTTAATGATTAAATCTTTCGAAATTCCCTGTCATGTTATAGAAAATATTCTGCCAAAAATATGTTCCTCCATTTCAGACATTTAATTTCAATAAAATACAGAAGCAACGTCATTATTTTTCCCCAGCAAACTGTATTAAAAATTAGTAATATATTATAATCAGATTTTCCTGGTATTTTGAACCATTCTGAACAACCCAAGTCCGTTGCTTCCATCGCCTCTTTATCAGGCTGCGACCAGCAAACATCCGACTGGCCAACCCGTTGAACAAAGCCAGAAAACCGCGGCGAGATTTTCATTTCAATTTGCTGCCAAAAATGCCCACAGATGTGCAGGGCGATTTTCCCTGGATATGGGGGGACAGGGGACAGAGGGTGGCAGGAATATACAGCATCCTGAAAACAGGAGCCCAGTAGACACGCAGTGGTTTGGTTTGCTCGTTGGCCAATTTAGTTTTAACGTTGCAGCTGCTGCTTGTGTTATCATTCAATTGCCGCCTCCACTGAAATTTGGAAAATGCCAGTTAGTAGAGGTGGAAAATGCAGGAGATGAAGGTTCAGGAGATAGGTGGGATATTATCTTAGGTAGGAGAAAGAATCACAGAAATCTTTTAATAAACGCAGGTTATTAAAACTTATTTATTTATTACTATTTAAAGTGGGAACCTCAAAATGGAAACATATATTAAAAACCTATAACAACTACACTAAAGTCACTGCAATTTCAAACTCATGAGTCATGACATTTTCTATCTTCTTATATTAATTCCATACCAACTCCCTTCCGTTTTCTTTTCCAAGTGCATCAGATTAGTGTCCATAACTATGAGTAATGACCATACCGGCCAGTAGCTTCCATCTCCCCAGCCGTGAAGGGCTTTCACCGGATTCTGGTCGGGTTTAATTGGGCGAGGGCGATGCTCACTTGGTGCAAGCCACTTGACTTGCCAGCTGAGCAGCAGCTTTCGATGGGAACGCTTCGCCAAATTAGCCTAACTAACCCCAGGGCAGTAAACTTGGCCCAAACCCGACCCGTACCCGTACCTACCTCCCTGGCCATCCAGCTCACGTTCTCACCTCGACCAAAAGGACGATAGCTGTTGACAAGGACAACGGCCTCCAGGGCATTTCGAAGCAGCGTTAAGTGCATGACTATCTGATTGCAGTCCATGCGAATTTTCGCCGGCCCGGAAAAGCGTTTAAACCATTGAATTGCGTGGAGGAAAACGTGCTTGGAATTTAAGCTGTACACAGAGAAAATATATACGAGAATGTTATATTTGAATATTAGTATAATGAGACCCAGTAGAGACAAATACATTTCAATTTCATATTTAAGATTTGGGTGTGGTGAGTACATAATTTTAAGAAATGTATTGTAACAGCATACAAATATTTGAACATTTTAAATAATTCTTCTTGAACAACCAATGAGTTTCCTTAAAATATTCCTAGCGTAAAAACCAATAATCAAAGTCTTATAAAATTTCTCCCAAAATTTTCCCTGTGTTTCCCCAAAATAGAATCTAATCCCAATTCCGCAAAGAGCTCCCTCGTCTGCATACCAAATTGTTTTAATACAATAACATTTTTCAAACAAAACTTCTTTTGGCGGCCGCATTGGTTATGAGTCAGCATTTTAAATTTTTTGTTTACAGCCTCGAGGGTTATCCAAAAGTCTGGCAAGTAATTGTATTAAAAAAAAAACAGTAAAACGAAAAAAATGCACTTGGCCAAAAGAACTAACTACATCAGCAACAAGGATGCCACGAACTCGATAACATTTTAGCTGGATAAACAAATTTCTTCGGCTAGCGAGCAAGAGCAAAGCAAATATGAAATTCCATTATTTGATGGATGCTCCGGGCGGTGAAAAGTGGGGAAAATTTATATATACATATCTATATATATGTGTGTGACAGGATTTGAATATAATATTTGGCACCCTACGGGGCGTATGATTAATGCAATTTTCGGTCGCCAAAAGGCAACTCATTGTCCGGACAAACACAATGGATTTATTAATGAAGAACCAATATGCATTTTAATATCAAATTTCCATTATTATATGTACATATATCGGTTGACCTTGAATGGAAGTACATCGAAATTAATGAAAATACCTCAAAGATTAAGGTTGCTGCAGCTCCAAGAATGAGCTAACATTGTTTAAATTGAATTGTTAGGTTTTATGTAAGTTAAAACACTTATTTAATTTTATCTTACAAGACATTTTAAGCAAGCTCATAAATGTATAGCTTTACTGCTAATTGTCGTTTATCTTTCTCATTTACCTAAGAAATATGAAAGCCAAATAGAAAGGGGAAATATTTATATTTAAGTCTATGTTTTCTTAAGGCAGTTCCCTATAAAAGAGTGGGCCTACCATCACTCAAAACACAGTTTTTTACTCTATACAGAAATAAGCTTAGAAATGCCTTTGCTGTTTAGTTTTCTCTGGATCTCGTTAGTATCCTTGCTTACTGCAAATCCTGACATTTCCGTACCGCAGGATCGCATACTCGGTGGCCACGATACGGAAATCGATGAAGCTCCCTGGCAGGTGTCCTTGCAAAAGAATGGTATACATAACTGCGGTGGATCCATCTACAGTCAAACAATTATTATAACCGCTGCGCACTGTGTTCACGGTTTGAAGACAGGAACACTCTCGATACGAGCGGGATCCTCGAAACACAATTCCGGAGGGATTGTGGTCAAAGTCGCTGCATTTAAATATCACGAGAGATACGACAGTGTGACAATCCACAACGATGTGGCCGTAATTCTATTAAAGGATCCTCTCGCTTTGAGTCCATATATCCAATCCATTCCTCTGGCTAAAACGGATCCAGCCGAAGGATCTCAGGCCCTATCAACTGGCTGGGGTTCCACCGGCCTGTTTTCTCCGATACATCTTCAGGGCGTGGACCTTAAGATCGAGAGCAAGAGTTTTTGTAGATTGAAGTATCCCTTTAGGGTCTATAAAACTGACATCTGTGCAGGACACCTTGGCAAGGCCGTGTGTAGGGGGGATTCTGGTGGACCCCTCGTAGTAAACGGCAAGTTGGTGGGAATCGTTTCCAGAAGCGGTAACATATTATGTCTGGCTAGTGGACTTTATGTCAGTGTTGCCCATTACCGAAAGTGGATTTTGAGGACAATTGAATCTTTTTAAAAATTTCACCTTTTTACTATAAATATTTGTAAAATCACCAAGTATGGCAATAATCGAACTGTATACTTCTAATAACCAACTAAGGATCCTTATTAACCTATTAGTTTAATAATCAATCTTTAGTCATAAATGACCTTAACTTCCATTTAAATAAATAACATTTTGAGCATAGAAAAATACGTGTTTTACTGATATATATATATGATGTTTTTATTAAATTATGTGAATTATATTATTTTCTTAATATATATACTTTAGAAATTTTTTTACTATTAAAAATGAATAAGTAAGTAGTTTTATGTATATTTTATAGGACTTATAAAGTTTTTGGTCATCCTAAAATAAAAGAAAAAACCAATACTCAAATAAACACGACAACAAAAAAAAAGAGTAAAATAATTTAAATAAAAATTTTCGATCATTCTTCCATAATAACATATTATCTATATATTAAAGTAAAATGTGATTTTCTTTATAAAGTTAAAAGATCAATCTATATATAAAGGTTTACGATATTTTCGATACTATATTAAGCATAATATATTGATCGGACCTTTCCTCTCGTTATATGTTCCTACATGCTGAATTTGAGAACATCTATTTCCAATACTAACATTCGTTAATAGTATTAATAATCCCAAAAACTTCTTACACAGTTAGAAATGCTCTTTAATAATTTTATTGTTTAAATTTTTAAGTTTGCAAGATAGATTTAATGGCATTTAAAAGCCATACGTGATAGTGGGCCACACTGGTATAGATTCCAGCACCAACACAATCCGATGTACCTCCAGAGACAACTCCAACTAATGTATTGTTAAAAACTAAAGGGCCGCCGGAGTCCCCCTTGCATGCCAACAATCCTGGCTTTCCAGCGCAAAATGTATCGTTTGTCATCCAATTCATAGATTTTCTACAGTCGTCAAAGATTCCAATAGAAATGTAAATGCCTTGCAGAATTTCTGGGCGTACATCTCCAAACTTCGGACTTTTTGTGCGTCCCCAGCCAGTTGATAAAGCCTCTGATCCAGGAGCTGGATTAATTTTAGCCAAAGGAATCGGCCTTATTTGGTTGCTAAATGTAAGTGTCTCCTTTAATTTCATGATACCAATGTCCATTGTGTTCTTATTTAAATCTCTTTTGAAACCCTCGAAGTGCCTTATAGCCGACACCGTGAAAAGATTTTTTCGAGATTTTATGGAAGGCGATCCAGCAACTATTAGAAATTCTTCTGGTAATATGAAACGATATTTAATAGTATTTATATATGTGTTCTTTTCATAAAAACAGTGGGCAGCAGTTATAATGATCTTTTCGCTGTATATAGAACCACCACAATAATGTTTTTCTCGAAACTGCAAGGACACCTGCCATGGAGCCTCTTCTATGTCCATGTTCCTTCCATTAATTATACGATTTTCCGGTTGCGGAGCAAGTCCTGCACAAAGGAAGCCGGCACCCAAAAGAAAAGAAAGCAGCTGATGATCATCTTTACTTTACTCTGTTCCTATTTTGCCGGAAATGGACTTATATAGGAGATGGCTTCTTATTACAAGGGGTTCTATTAACTCAAATATCTTAATATTTTAATTAACTCCAAAGAATAACAAATATCAAGCATTGTCAGAACTATTATTAATTTTAAATAATTGAAAACCAAATCGAAATTTTGTTTTGTAAACGATTTCTGCAACATTGTAAAATTTCATTAAAATTCCAGTTACAGTTTTTATCTTAAATTAATCGTAATTGGAAGCTAGTAGTTAAACTGAGTGGGTATAAGACAGTGTCTCTCTTTGCCTAAAATTACTTGGAGATTTGACTTTAGTTCAAAATGTACATCCAGTGGATAGTCCTGTTCGCCAGTTTTGGCCAGATCTTTGCCGGATGGACTCCAGAACGGATTGTGGGAGGTCAATCGGTGAAGATTTCATCCGTTCCCTGGCAGGCTTCCCTTCAGGTATGGGGAGAACACGATTGCGGAGCGGTCATCTATAGCAAGCAGGTCCTTATTACGGCTGCTCACTGTGTCGTAGGCCGCCTTCCCTCCATTCTGACTGTGAGAGTGGGATCATCGCTCTGGAACTCCGGAGGTCAACTGGTGAATGTGTCCCATTACATTGCACACGAAAACTACCACTTGCCCGCAAATGAATCCAATGACGTGGCCGTTATTCGACTTCAAAAGCCTCTTAGATTCAATAAGAATGTCAAACCCATTCCACTGGCCACCACTTCACCAGCATCCGGATCTCTGGCAATTGTTTCCGGATGGGGATCTACAGGTTGGCAAATGGCGGGATCTACAAACCTGCTCGTCGTCAAATTGCCCATTATTGACTATGAAAGCTGCTTGAAGACCGCATACCAGGGTATTACCGACGACATGATCTGTGCCGCAGCTCCGGGAAAAGATTCCTGCTCCGGGGATTCTGGAGGTCCTTTGGTCTTTGGTGATCAGCTCGTGGGCATTGTGTCCTTTGGACGTGACTGTGCTCATCCCACATATCCAGGAGTTTATGCTGATGTGGCTAAGCTTAGGCCTTGGCTCCTGCAGGCAATTAAAAGAATTCAACAAGCCAAGCAGCACATTAAATGATTTTTGAGAGGTTAAATTTCATTTTTTCCAGTCTCAACTAAGAAAAACAAAATATATAACAAATAAATCAAATAAAGTTCAATTAAAACACTTCTATTCTTGAAGTTTAAGCTCAATTTTTGGCCGCAGAAGTTGACTACTTCCTTTAGCTTCTTCCCTTTCTTGTGCATCCTTTCGGGATTCCGCCTTCCTCGGCGATTGTCTGCAACTTAATCTGCCCCTGCTGAGTTTTAGGGCTAGGAAAAGCGATTCCGAGTCATTGGGCAATGCAAACTATGCAATATAATCGCATGATATATGCCTAATCTCTGCTGCAAACTTCCCTGGGAAAAGGAAGCCCCGTAAAAATGCCCCAACCGCTAAGCCAGTGGAGAAGATGGGCTCTGGAGGAGAGTCAATTTCAGCGATTAAATTAAGAATGCATAACTTGCTGGGTTAACAATGTTGCCAGGCGACTATGGTATGGCAAGGGATTGGGGATTGGGAATGGTATAGCTGAGGAAACTATGGTGGCAATTGCCTTGACAGCAGCACGAACGAGGTCCTGATTTTTATATTTTCCATTGCCTTTGCTGCCGCTTCGCAGATCTTTCCGCAAAGAGTGCAGAATAAGGAGGAGTCCTGCAACTCCTGCTACTTATCTGCCATTTCAATTTGCGATTTGTTTGCTGCAGTTACTATTGCACTAAGAAAATTTCACCAAAATATTATAAATATTAATTTAAACAACAATATAATGCAGGAAAATTTATAAAATTCCTACTTAGGTCTATATACAAATACTTATCACTCTTAAAAGTATATCAAGTTTTTCTCGGTGCATATCTGTACACTTCTGCACAATTTCATTCCCCTGCTCTGCCATCGGAAAGGTCGTGTCGGAAGGCATCCTGTTACTGGTTCCTGTTCCTCTTCCTGTTTGCTTATTTGTTCGCACTACCGTGCTCCTGGACACGGAGTGTGGAGCATGGAACGTGCCTAAGCCGGGTCCTTTATAAACATCTTGTATAACTGGCGGCAGGAAAGCTTCAACCAACGCGGTGTGTATTTGTTTTTAATGCAATTTCTTTTCTGCTGCGCTTTGCTTTGCTTTCTGAAAATAGTTTTCATAAATGCTGTGGCTGCAGGACAATAGAGGCCAGTGAGGACTCTGGTTCGCCAACCCCATCAATTTGCACAAAGACCAGGACATGTTTAAATAATTACATATATCAGGACTCTTTTCAATAACATTTATGTAAACTCCAGGAAAATACTTAAGCAATTAAGATTCCTTGTAACAATATCAATATTTATAAATGCGGAAAAGTTTGTTCCTTCTAGTAAACATATTTGACAGCAGTTTCCTCGATCCACTCCTTCATCCAAGCGATATTAACATAAACACCCGGTGTCAGGCATCAAAACCATGAGAAACTATGCCTATTAGTTTTTTGTCTTTCCAGCTAACCAAAGATCCGCCAGAGTCTCCATGACAAGAACCATAACCATACAGGGAAGCACAAATCTCGTGAGCCTTTAAAGGTCTAGGATCTTCGGCCAACAGGACAGCTAAAGCGTTAAATGCTTTTTGGCAACGACAGCGATCTTTTACCGTGACATTTGCTCCCTGCAAATAATCTGGACCTGGCATATTTGGATTAAAACTATTCCCTCCCCAACCGCTGACAATAGCAGGTGTCTCTCCCTCTGAACTTTTATCCGCCAATTCGATGGGCTGTGTGAAATTGTCAAATTTGAGAGGAGAGCTTAGAAAGAGCATTCCAATGTCGTATCCTTTGCGGACTTTGGACTTTGCCACCTTCACTATCTGTCCACCGGAACTCTTCGAGGGAGATCCTGCACGCACCGAGTAATCGTAAGGTAATCCCATACAGTGAGCAGCAGTCAGGACAATATTTTTCTTGTAGACAACACCGCCACACAGTGCATTTCCGTTGACAAGGACCGCAACTTGCCAAGGGATCTCTTGGATTTTCACGTTTTTACCATTAACGATCCTTTCCTTTGGTACTGGAATGCGATTAGCTGACAACAAACCGATCAGTTATAGAAAAACTATGCTTTTTGCAAACATTTTGAATCCTTTCAGTATTGTTTTCTTTGTTAAGAGGGACTTTTCGAAGTTTCAACTGACAGTTGCCTTCTCTTTTATAGGGTTTGAGTAGACAGCATTTTGTAAAAACTATTTGTCCCTAGATGAATTTTTAATTTAAATTCTTATCTTTTTTCCATAAAATAAAATTAAATAGATAATGTCTAAGGTTCAAGTATAAGCGCTTAATTTTGACAACCTTCATAAGTTATTTAAACTTAATGTAGGAGATAGGGAGAGGGAAACGAAACATTTTTCTTAAAATTAAAATTCTTGAGCATGATCTATTTATAGTATTGTTTTCTAAAGATGTCGCGATCTTTAATTGAATATTTGTAAACGGCTATATAAATTAAATTTCCAGACTCTTAAAATATTAAAAGCACGCTTTTATTAATTATAAAGCTGAAGGTATTTGAAAAAAAATACAAATTAAAGAAGGTTGTCATAAAGTTTCCTAATTTTCATACCAAAACCATATTTATTGGGTTTTATTTAATGGCACATACATATTTGCATTCCTTATTAAAATTTAATATGTTAGGTTGTTGATAAATCACTTCAATTATACTATTAAATAAATTAGAAGTTATTCGAGTGAAAGGAAAAAATGTCTAAAATATAGTAGGGCTTTTCAAAAGTTTTTTTACAATTTACTTCTTATTTTTCACATCTGTTATTATGTATTTCTGTTATATTTAAGCCTTAAGCCTTTAATTTCACCTTGCTTCTCAGTTAATAAATGTTTTTAACTCCTTTCAAAGATAACAAACAAAACCCATATAAGTGCAATTCAAATATAAAGTATATATGTATATATAAAGTACGTATAATTGAATTAATCCCAACTCGCCTTGCTCCGCACACTGGCAAAAAAAAGGATGCTTACGAGCACTATTAGCTGACGACAGCACACATGTGCAAACTTTTTTGACCACCGCCCATTAAACACACTCACACACACAAACACAGAAACCATAATGTGCATGCGAAATAAAGAAGGATTAAAAGCAGAAACAAAACAACAAAACAGGACCTTCCCGGCTCAGGATCTCAGCTGCATTCATGGGCGGTGGCTGGGAGGTCAGAGGACACCATGTGGCGCTGTCGTTATTGCCGGCTTTTAAATGCTCACAAAGTGCGTACTTTGTTATGTGCTTAACTGGCATTAAGGGCGTCGACTGCAAAAACCCCAATCATTAACTTGTCTTGTTAATAAAGAGTGCATTCCATAAAACAACAACAAAAACAGACAAAACGAAAGCCAAAGCAAATTCAAAGAGGGAACTTTTAACGACTGGACATAAAATGGCTAATTTGCAGTGAATTTCAAAAAACTTTGAGGCCAATTATGCAGTAAATTAGTATCTTTTTAACATGTTTTAGTTTACTTTGTTTTCTTTCAGAATTATTCGATAAGCAAGTATATATCAAAATACCTTCCAATATTTATTGTTTCCACACAATAAATAACATTTTGCAAACCGAAATCCTTGTGTGCTGCCCAAGATACTTTGTGTAAAAGAAACCGCACGACATACTCGACCTGTCAACATCCTTTCCCCCCAAGGACTCTCTCCTTTTGCTCGTAGGACTCGCATCTGACATGGCCATATATCGTATATTATGCATGCAGTGCCAGGCAATGGCCAGAAGAATATTCAAAGCATTTAGCAACTCATTGTCCCTTTCGCCAGCAACAACAGCACAAGCTCAAGACGATGACGATGGGAAAAATGTATTCATGGCTTCTCCCCCAAATTGTATAATTTAAGTTTGCACATAAAATCACACCGCAAAACTTGGGAAAAAGGCCCGAAAAGTAGAAGCCGCAACAACAACAGCACTCAAGTGAACTGACATAGATACGAGTATATGTGAATTGTTAGGGGAGAAATTTCTCAGCATCCAGGGTTGGCAAGGAGACCTCTATATAGCCATGGTTTAATATATAAATGAGCTGAAAACAATGACAGTTTGTCTACGAGAAAAGCCAAAAGTTAGAGCTTAATAATGAGAGGTTGTAGAGTAGATTAGATTAGTTCTTAAAACTATATATATATAACTTGTTTAATTCAGGTTATTTTGTATGTTGTTTGATTAAAATGTATGGGGCTAAGTACTTATAAATTATTTTCTATATTTTAACAAATGTTCCTTTACTTAAAAACCAAATTGCATTTGTAAAATCTCGAGGCCCTGAAAAAAAAGGTACTTCCCTAAGCATTTCTGCATGTTCCCTATGCCCTTTTACCATTTACTTGAAGACGGCCTCTATTACACAGTTGAGCACACAACGTAACCGAATTTCCCAGCCATTTCGTACACCCACTCACACACACACACTCAGACACATCAAATTTAAATATTTTAAAGAGAGAGAAAACCGGACGCAGAAGGACTCCGGGACAGGACCGACATCACACAAAGCACAAAACTTGTGTGCCATAAAAACGCTATAAAATTGCACAAATAGCATCGGAGACGTGGAGATACTGAGACGCTGATATTATCCCGGGCACATACATATGGAATGAGTGTGTGTGAAAGTGGCGGAGCATCTCACTTCCTGCTGACCCAAGTGCGTGTGCACATGAACTTTAACGAGTGTGAGAAGGGGAGAGGGTCCTGCAGGTCCTTTTCCCCCCATTGCAATGATGTAAGTCATTGTCAACGCCTTCGTATCGGACTCATTTGCTGGGAATATCTGGGACTCAGCCTTTTGTAACCCTTTGTAACTTGATTTCATTTTAATTTTTCCTTTCTTTTTTGTAAGGGTTTCCTGGGCGACAATCTCACCCACACACATCGGCAAAGTTATGACACTCACACGGTCCATTTTGAGGCGACAAATTGGTCTTCAGGCTGTCCACGAAAAGGATTTGAGAAATTCCTTCTGGCTTGTGCATTTTCCAGTGAATTTCAAAAGGGTCTAATTCCCATCACACCAAGGACCAAAGTCCTTTGGTCATCAGTTACGTAAGGTGTTGCTTACTATTAACTTGGGAGACATTTTGTGGGGGACCTTAATTAGAATGCCATAATGGAAATGCCAACACACACACACATTCATGCCTCATAAATAATTTATATGCCATGAAAACGAATGGGGGAAAATTTAAATAATCAAATACAGAGGGACAAAAGGGAATCCCCCACGGAATACGCACACAATCATCAATCGCAGAGAAATCCATTCCCAGCTAAATCGAAAGGTTTGCAACTATTTTCGGGTCGACAAAAACGGGGGGAGTAAATGATTTTGCATAAAATTTAAGCGTTGGCATTTTCCACCTGAGATTTAACGAGAATCCTTTTATATTCCGGAACCTCAAAAGATTATGCCTGCTTGCAGGGCTTGACTTTCATGTGTCAATTTAGGACATGCCATTACGATAAGTGAGTTGGGAAATATATTAAGCCAATCTATGGATTATGTCAAACATTTAATTGTCTTGACTTGTCAATTTTCCCAAAGAGGCCTAGTCCTGGGGCGATTAAATTTTCATTCAATTAAATAATTACTATAGTCTTTATTGAGATAATTTAAGTTTAGGGCACAGGTTTATGTTTAGATTTCAGCTTAAAGACAACAAGGCAGAAAGGAAATTAACTTCCATAAAACCAAAATAAGACGGTATAAAATTTTATTAAAGAAATATAATTTGTAAATATTTTTTTATATATTAAGAAAACATATTGCACAGGAGTATAGTATGAAATGCTTACATGATCAGTTATTTTATAGTCCAGCCTATATTTTTGTATAAACAATATTCTTCCGCGATTGAAGACTTTGAAAGCAAGCGTGTTTCCCTAATTAATTCAAGAGCCAAGTCTATACAGCTCATTCTTGTGTGATCCTCCTAAAACTTTAAATGCGAAAATGCAACCCGACAAGTTTTTGGGTAGCGAACCGCAAACTCCCACAACAACGACAACTTTAATTAAGTGGAAATTATGATGCTGTCAGGAAAAGAAAGGAAAGGCGACGGCTGGGATCAGCACGCTTGGTGGGCGGACGCTGGTCACACGTGGCGTATGAATAATGTAAAATCTCAACTAATTAAGCCGAGTAAATGCATTTACAACAACTTGCCCCGGCCTCTGGCCTCTCCAAAAAAGCTGCAATTTTGTGCAGCAACCACAGCCCCCTCCCTGCCCTAGAAGCACCAAAAACAAGTCTGTGCAACATATTGTTTGTTTTAATTAAAAATTTTCGGTCCGCAGAAGGAAAATTATGTATGTGCATCCAGCTTCAGCAACAGCATAGCGCGAGCTACAAAAACTGCATGTTTATAAGGGATTCGAATGAGGAAATTGAAACGCATTACACACTTAGTATTCGAATAAACCATCTAGATCCGGAAAATCCATGTCCCCCTCACTGTCTATTCTCTTGTCTTCTTCATTTTCCGGTACAGCTATGGCCACTACCGCAGTAGCAACCAAAGAAAAGTAAGGCTATAGACAAGAAACTTCATTTTTGTGCTGCAAATTTTTCAAAATCTTTTTGATGATACTTTATTTGAAATTAAAATTAACGAAAGCACTGTGACAGATTTTTCTATGCCTGTCTTATTCGGAATCGAAATAAAGAACGTTCATGATAGAATCAATTGCATCACGAGTACGTTCATCTGGTCCCTTTCGTTTGCTTTCGCTAATAGGTTGATAATGAAAAACTCATTACACTACTCTTCAAAGCATGACCAGGAAGTCTTCTTATATCCTTCACTTTGTTTATAAAACCGTGTATTACTGAATCCACTCCATTATCCATGGACTCGTCACTTTGGTCTTCGCTGGGCTCTTCAGTAATCTTAGTTGGTTTCTTGGTGGTTACATCAGGCTGAACGGTTGGTTTAGGGATATCGGTGGCCAACTTCTCAGTATTTCCCTTAGTGGCTGTCTCTGCCACAACAGGTTTTATAAATGTTATCTTATTATTATTCGTTTGTGTTCCGGGAACTCCAGCTACTATAGCTAACAAAGCTGCAAGCTTAGGAAATAACTTGAAATTCGCAACATTTTGGTTAAAAATCGCAAGAGACTGGTTAAGACTTAGGATTGGGAACCTTTTATACCTGCCTCAAAACGTTGATTATAAAGGGAAATTACCGGAGAACTACAGAAGCCAGAATTTGGTAATTAAATTGGCAAATTAGTTGACATATTCAGAGGAAATAAAAACAAGAGTGTGTCGGCCCATAAGGAAGTTCGGTATTATAAGTTTTTTCGTGCAGTCGCATAAATTAGATTTCAGTAAAAGTTTAAATTAATTCATAGAAGAAATAATTGTTAACCATAAACAAAGCTAACTTGAAAAGCAAAAGTGAGTTACTCTTGAAGTTACCGAAAGAATGAGAAATCGATCATAACTAAGCCAAAGATGCCTTAATATTAATAAATTTGTAATGCTTTTCAGTGTTGGCTTATATAATATACTACTATATACTATACTAAAATATTACTCTTTAATATTTAAAACATATAAAATTTTTTAAACAATTTTAATTTCTTTGAAAAATTCAGTTAAATATTTTTTAAAATTTGTATCTCAAATGTTATATTCTTTATCGAATAAGATTTTGATTGCAAACAGAAATATATATGATTTCTGGCAATGTCTGTCTTTTTGGCCTTCATATACCTCGAAGAAAAAATAAAATATCTATATTCTAGGTATCTTAAATCTATACTTTTATATGCTAATTTTTTGTGCAAGTCTTAGTTTTTCAAGTATCATAACTAAGCCACAAATGCTTTAATTTCAATTCGGATAGCTTTTTTTAGAGTGCTAAAATATCTGCATACTTAGTTTTAAAATTTGCAAACTTTACAGTTCGTCAAATTTCGACAATTTTAACAAATTTAAAAAAATTTATTTTTTGACCGAACATGGCTAGATGGACTCAGCTTTTTGCGCTGATCAAGAATATATATAGTTTATAGGGTCAGAAATGACTCCTTCACTGTTTTGCAAGCTTCGGATAAAATTATAATGACCCGTAAAGGGTATAAACATATAGCAAAAGTTGGCGCCAAAGTCAGGTTCAGTTTTAAAACTATCGTAATAATCAATATTCGTGAATAGTTTATCATTAAGTTACCTGTAAGCTTTGAGTACACATTTGTAAATATCATTAATGCAAATTTCAGTATTATTTAAAGTCAAATAAATATAATGTCAATAAGGCAACATTTACTAACTAACTAACTAACTAAGCAATTGAATGACTTACACCATCACTATAGATGTAAACACTGCGGCGGCCACGGACAGACTAAGGAAGTGCGACGGTCGTGGCTGTATTTATAGTCGCCGAGTAAAGAGAACAGAGAAAGTGAGAGCGCAAGAGAAAGGGGTACCTCTAGAGATAGGCAGAGAGTTAGAGAGAAAGAGCTATCTCTAGAGATAGGCAGAGAGAGTAGAGAGAAAGAGCTATCTCTAGAGTACAGCGAGTGAGATAGACATTAAGAAAAATTCAGAGATTAATCGTGAGAGAAATAGAGACAGATAGAGAGGGACAGAGAGGTAGAGATAGAAAAATAAGTTGTTGATGCTGATTAAGAATATATATACTTAAAGGCTTAAAATTAACACCTTTACTGCGTTGCAAACTTCTGACTTATGTTTAATTCCCTGTAAGTGCAATAAAAAGAGATCAAGAAGCAAATATATAAACAATTACAAATTATGTATCGCTAATTTTTTGTACCACTTCTAGAATATTTTAAAGAAAGACAAATAAAACTTCATCACATATTCCTAATTTTATTTAATAAATTAAAATTTTATATATTACTTTTTGTGTATTTTTCATTTTTTTTATTTACAGTTCTAATAGGAAGACATTCTTTCCTTCGCTAATCCTCGGTGGAGTTTTCATCCTCATCCTCTCGTGGCGCCGGCTCGGTTTGCCACCTATGACCCATGGCATACGGTGGCTTCGCGTAGGTTTTCACATAAAAGGTTCCATTCTTTGGCACCGAGGGTTCTCCTCCCATCCGGAACTCACCGTCGCTGAGCAGGAGGATCCAGGTGCCATCATCATGACGCTCGCAGCGGGGTCCCCAAAAGCCCGCCGGACTCGTCAAGTTTCCACGAAATAATCATGAGACCTCTTTGCGAACATCCATACACATAACACTTTTTCTGATTCTTTCCATAATTGGGATAGAAGGTGGCATGTCCCACGGGTTTCTCAAAGCCAAAACTAACGCTGGTTTGTATGGATTCCACGTAGGAGGCATCGCTGCATCTATTCGATACTCATCTGTCTGATCCCGGAACTGAGGACCCGCAGGATCAAGGGCGTAAATTGTATTGAATTTATATGGTTGGATTTGCTTCCCAGCACTGCCAGCAATCTGAGCGCCCAAAGAGTGTCCAATAATGTAGACATCATCGTAATGCAAATTCGCCTCCAGATGAAGATGACGCACTAGATCCGCAAGCAGAGCACCCAGATCCTCCACTGTCTTGGCCACTTCGAAGTAGTTAACATTCGTGGAAATCTTGCTCCAATCGCAAACGATCACGTTGAAGTCCTCATAACGAGGAGGTTCTCCATTAAGGCCAGGATGAGTCAGGCTCAGATAAGCGTTTTTTACCTTTCTGATGTGAGACCCTTTGCTCTGACTCATCCAGCCGTGAATGACAATTCTGTGGAAGAAGAATATAAACAAGTTAATAGGAGATTTATCTTTAACTTATTATTATGTATACCTTTTAAGAGAATTTATAAATTTAAGGTATAAATTAATTAAAATAAATGACAAAAAGAGTTAAGGAAAACTCAATAATTCTGTTTATATTTCTTTTCTGACTTTAAAGCATAATAGAAAACAGAATTTAATTATGAAGACAGCTCTAAGAGAACCTCATAAAAAGATAACATTAGCTGTAAATATCAATGCCCCTTTTAATGTAAACAGATCTTATCTCATGCAAATCATCAATTCCTCCCTTATCTTATCATTTCTTTTAAATGCAAAACTTGTGTTAGACCTCTTGTAATTTCTTTTATTCCTTAATTTCTTTCTTTCCTTAATTAATAATTTTAATTGGCAATGTCTGTTATTTTCTACGAAACAACAAAAATAATTAAATAATTGGCAATTATTTGAGTGTCAGTGAAATGGCAATGACTCAATAAGCGATAAGGGAGCTGTAGGCCACACGAAAGCTCAGCATCAAAATAAAAATATAACAAACCAGTTTTCATGATTACCTCGAAATAAAAATTATATTTTTAGTGAGAGAATTTGGCAAATATTTGGCTGTGATCATTATTCATTAGCTTGTTTGCTCTCTCAATAATTAGATGCTTTCTGACGTAAATGCTATTAATGAATAGGAATACTGAATACACTACTTTTAGTATTGTTCTGTCTGAAAATGTTTAAACAGCTGTTTACTAATTATTCTCTACAGTTAATGTAAACAAATTGTCTGTTGCACAATTACTTCCCCCATTAATGCTTCCTCCACAATATGCATGCGAAAAAAGTTCCCTGATTGATTCGCAATCTGTGAATTAATCTCCCAGGAAATCCCCTTACCTCGTTGGATGACGTGCATCGAAGCCCGAGTTCTTGAGGTTTTCCACATCGCCAATCAATAATTCCCTTCCGCAATCTGCAAAATCCCTCTTGAAGAGTAAAAATTGCATTTTACTCCTTGAACTGCCAACGAAAGGAATCCAATGTTTAAAGAACTTCTTCCAAAAGGAGGGATCCACACCCAAGGTCTTGGACTTGATGAGGGTATAATTGCAGTTGGCATTGGGATTTAGAGCGGTCTCTTCAGTAGAAGCCGGAGATGCTAATGGATGATTTCACACATTATTTATTTTTATAATTAGAGTGTTTACATGTACTTAGAAAAGGTATTGTATTGGAGCTTCAATGCCTTTTCTCTATTTTAATACTCACCCACAATAAGGCAGTTAATGCCAAAATCCCGGCACTAATTAAACCCATCCGTCCAGCTGCGAGATCATGTTTACTCTCGGTTTTCGCCCGTGGGATTTCTCGACCGTTCAAGTGGATCTCCACCAAAGTGATCTTCTAGTGGATCTAGTGCGTGCGATGACCTAGCTCTACCGTTATGGATTTATACTCTCCGGAAGACCGAGATCCGCAGATCTGACCTGCTCAACGCTGTGGGCCCAACTAACTGACGAAACTCTCAAAAACAACCCGCCGAGAGTTGGAACTGAAACTGATCGGAGAGCATGGCGACCCCATGTCTGTGCTCTCTTGCTCCCCCGTAATCTTTATTTCTCTCAATAAATATATATATATAAACATACATATATAACCGTACATTTATATGACACTCTCCCTTCAATGATCGCTATAATTAATAAGTAGGCATCGCCAGCAGCCAAAAGTGTTAATTGCTATTGATGATTCCAAAGGGGATCTTTAAATGATGTACAAGTAATCCTAGTAAGACCAAGATAAATATTATAAATCTTAACAGACCAAGTTCTTTTAATAATAAATAATTGGTTTACAAACTTAAAAAATATTGCCTCGAAAACCGTGTTTTAATTGCCGTAAAAGCAAAAACATTACTCCCCCGGCACATGTTTCGCTTAGACCTCGACTACAAAAATAAGCAAATAAAAATCCAACCTTTTCACCCTTTCTAAACCCAGATAAGTTAATTACCCCATTAAGTTGACCTGCTGTAAAAATCTGTAGAGAGCGTTTTCTCTCTCTAACCCAACCGTAATGAGTTTCGGTTTTCTCGAAAACCCAAAGGCAAACATTTTTATGGCTGTCAGTCAGCAAATGATTATCGCAGATCCTGAAAATTTTCCAGACCTATCGGCTAATTGCCTGGCCCCTAATCACATTCGAAGCTCTCGCTTAATTAAGCAGCCCCGAAGTACATAATTCATTAATCCAAACTCAAATGAGGCGACAAATTTTCACTCACTTAGCGAGTCAATTTTCGTTGGCGAAAGAAACTGGAAAATGTTTTTGGGGCGTGGCTCCACCTGAAAACGTTTTAATTATGCAAATTTTTGGGCGATCCCTGTTGATTAGAAAATCCGCCAGAAGGAAAGACATGGCAAGAATCGAGGCTGCACTATGTGTGGTGCCAAAAAGGGACCTCCAGACATCAATCAATATGCAAAAGGGTGCCAAAGGGGGAGGGGCAGGACCCGCATGCCCAGGAGGCCAATGAATTTGGCAAACCACCAATTAGACGTTGGAAATTAATTGGCAATGCCTCGCAGCTGGCTCAAAGCTCCACAAAATGTATGTGGAACTGAAATTGTGGAATTAATAGGGACAAATTGGTATTGAATTCAGGTCTCTGGATGAGGGCCAGGTTATAGTTTCATTTTAAAAATACATTTAAAGCATTTCCTTCGGTTTTTTCTTTGCCCTTGTCAAATGTCAGGTAAAGTTTTTCTTCTGCCTTTCCTTGTCAAGTGTTTCCCAGGTGGTTGCTTTGAGAAAGCCTATAGTCTTTAGGGTTTTTTAAAGAGGCTTTAAACATAATGTAAAATCTATTTAGTGTGCTTTTCTACCAGTATTTAAACAATTAAAACCTTAAAATTTCTTCAGGAAAAATATCCAATAGCCAAACTTTACCTCTACCTCCCTTCACCAACCTTAAATCCTTTACACTTTCCATCACTTTACCGTTTCCAACTTTCTGCTTTGGGGCAGGAAACTTTTTCTGTGGCCAAAAACCGAAAAACTGTAAATCCACAACTAACATTTTTAAGCATAACAAAGTACGACGAGATTTGGTGAATAAATCTTGACGCCGTTTTTGGTTTAGTCAGGCATAGCCCCCAAAATGCTTATTATGGGGTTTTTTTGGGGTGATGTTAGCTTTGTGTAAGGATGCAAGGACGGTGGTTAGGGGTTTTGTTTTGTCCTAAGGACTTTTTAGTTCTCAGATGCTGCAACGATGACTGCAACTTTTTCTATTGACTTAATGCAGTTGGCAAGTGCAGCCAAGTGTTGCCTGTAGATTCACTCTGAACTTGGACACGACAACTTTGCAGATTAACTGCTGGCAAAGTTAGTGGGAAATACTAGAAAATTCTCCCAAGCCCAAACACAGTCACTTTTCATTGTAAAATCAAACGTAGCATAGATAATTTTCCAAAACCAGCAAACCTATAAAGTTTATGTTTTTTTTCAAACATTGCATATTTTTAAGCTCTAAATTATTGTTTGTAGAGTGGATAGTAATTAGAAATGCCAGCCAAGAGCATCCTTGGTATAATAGCAGCTACAGCTGGGTCCTTTTTTGCCCTGGGAGCCTACTATCAGCACATTGATGTACTGCGAAATATCCAAAGACTGGAGCAGCGCAATCCTCATGCCTATTTCATCCGCCGGAAGTTGTACCGATTGGTAACTAATTCTAGAATATCCTTCCCGCTGCCATTTAATGATCTCCTTTCCCTTCCAGTTGGGCATCTTTTCTGTGCAGGCTGATGGGCAAGATGTCATAGGGGATGATGAGGATGGTCACAAGCTGGCCGGGATTATGAAATACGGCTTTCCCAGCACAATGATATTAATCTCAACGAGGCCTTCGACTTTGTGACCTCCTTCGATCGTCGAAACTCCTCCATACATTGGATGTGCGAGCGAGTGGATATATCGCACAATACCATTTATGCACAGCCCACATCATCTATAGCTACATCGAGAGCATTTAATCAATCGGAGGCTGCCCGGGTATTTTTCCTCTCCAACATCAAACCCTTCATGAACAGGGGTTTCAACCTCACCGTGTGGGAGCGACTGCTCCAGCATGTAAATGAATGAGTCGACAGCATGGTACCGTGTACGTTTACACTGGATCCATTTACCTGCCCCGAGAGCTCAAGTCCAACAATTGGTTCCTGGAGTACCAGACGGAGGATAGAATCATGGTCGCTGTGCCCACACACTTCTTCAAGATCCTGGTGGTCGATTCCAAGTTTGGGACAGATTCCACACCCTATGCGGAGGCCTATGTGATGCCCAACTCGCCGCTAAACGATAACGTGGACCTGAAGACCCTGCTCAACGATATCCGAGAGATAGAGAATATCACAGGTCTGCGGTTCTTCGAGGGTCTGGATCGTAACTTTGTGAATACCCAAATAACCAGCTCAGTTGTCAGTTTTTTAACCAATCCGGTTGAGAGTTCCGTGAACCATCCGGTAGCCAGTTCCATAACCCATTCGGCAACCAATTCCTTAGACAATTCAACAGCCAGTCTTTTATCCCCTTCGTTAGCCAGTACTGCAGTCCATTCGGTAGCCAGTACTGTAATTTATCCGGCAACAAGTCTGGTAGCCGGTTCAATAATCAATCCAGAACAAATTCTGTAAATGTTTTAATGACCACCAGTTTAGTCAGTACTCTGAATTTGAATTAATTGAATAAAGAAGAATCTATTAGAATCTGTTTAGAGATTTAGTTTTAATTTATTTATCCAGGAGAAAGCCTTCATTAGGGTTATGTTTTATTTATTAGATGGACTTATTGTAAGGCCATAAATGGACCATAAATGGCATATCCTGGGACTAAGTTTGGCCCTGGGTGTCACTGCCATCAGTGCATCCTTTGTGGCAGGCATGTACCTGCAACACGAACATGCCACAAGACGTTTGCAGCATTTAATTCAAAAGGATCCCTATGCCTACTATGTTAGTCCCAAATTTATAAAGTGGTAAGAGTTAGCCTTTTAAGATTAATTACGATATAATATAAGTTAATAATCCTTTTCCAGTTTGCTTTCTTTGAGAGCCACGATGAGGCCAACTACCGTATGCGCCAAATCATGAAGTATGGCTTTCCGGGTCTGGATGACTTAAGACTATACAGTGACTTTGTACTCTCCTATGATCGACGGAACCGAGTGGCTCATTGGGTGTGTGAACACCTCCAGGCGGAGAGTATTCATTCGGAACGAGGGGTACGACGTCGAAGTCCTTTTCAAGCGGATATGAATGTGCCCTCCAACTTTCGTTCCGAATTGACAGACTATCGAAGATCCGGTTTTGATCGCGGTCATCTGGCAGCCGCTGCTAATCATTACTTACAGCAGAATCACTGTCAGGATACGTTCTTTCTCACCAATATAGCGCCACAAATTGGCAAGGGCTTAATCAAGGAGCTTGGAACAGGCTGGAGATATATGTAAGATCTCTGGTCAATCGCTTTGGATCCGTCTACGTGTGCACGGGTCCCCTCTATAAACCTAAACAGCGGTCTGGTGGCAAATTCGGAGTGGAATATGACATGATAGGAGTCAATATGGTTGCGGTTCCCACTCACTTTTTCAAGGTTATTATGGTGGAATCGAATCAGCATCTGGGCAAGCCTTATATGGAGGGGTATGTCCTGCCAAATGCTACGATACCAGATAACCTGCCATTGCGATCCTTTCTCTGTGACATCCGAGAGATTGAGCACTATGCTGGTCTGAAGTTCTTTGATGGCCTGAGGAGAAGTGCCTTGTTTGGCAGCAATTATCCCAGTGAGTCCCAGGTTTTTCGAGATTTTGGTTGACCTTAAATTAAATTTGGACTTGCAAATAAATTATTACCATATACATGGGTTAAGCAGGCCATTGCCTAGTTCTCACATTTGTGTTATATACACAAGTAACCAAATTATTGTATCCCGAAATATGTCGTATAACGATGCGCCTTAGTCCATCAGTGTGCTCTATATGCACTGGCGGGAGTAACTGGATTTTTCTGTGGCGCCTTTGCCCAGCAGGAGGTGTCTTTAAGGAACTGTTTCGACTGATCCGAAGGGATCCATATATCTACCATCATCGTCAAAGGCTTTATCCCATTGTGAGTTATTAATAATGTTCGAATTTATTATTTATTTCTGCTCCTCCCCGAAAAGTTATCCACTTTCAGGACCGATCACGAGTCCCGCTTGTGGAATCGTCCCATAACCGTGGGTGACAAGATCAGGGAGCTAGTTGTATCGCCTCTTATTGATTTACTAAGTGGTTTCTTTATGCTAAGAACCGACTCGGCAAGCACTATGGATCTGCTGGATTTAATTAAATATGGACTGCCCAGCACTGAAAATTTGTTGATCCACAAGGACTACATTGTCTCGCAGGATATGTGCACCAACTCACCGAGATGGATCTGTGAGCATTTTCGCGGTAATTATCAAAAGATAGAGACGGATTCGTCCGGTGATAGCTCCCTGAATCTTCGCAACAATGACGTCTATGTCCTAAGCGGTGGATCGATGAAAATCTGTAAAGCCTTTAAAGGAAAGATATGGAACGATTTGGAGCAGTATGTGGTCACCAAGGCTCAGGAATTTGGTTCAGTGTATACCTACACTGGGCCGATATATATGCCTTCGAGTCAGGATGATGACAAATGGTCCTTGAAATATGAGGTCAACGATTGGATTCCCATGCCGGTGCCATCGCATTACTTCAAGGTACTAATAGTGGAAAGCAATATTCCCGGGATTTATACTTTCATCGAAGGTTTTATCATTGAGAACAGCCGGTCGATGGGCGGAAAGTTAAGGAATCATCGCGTCAAGGTGGATGAAATTGAGCGATTTACGGGGCTGCGATTTAACAAGGACCTTCGACCAGCGGTGCAATTCGATAAGAACAAATTTCGGGTGAACACTCAAGCCTGGGCGGGTCGGTTCCAGGAGATCTCAGAGCAACTTACTGCTCAGCCTTCAAATAAAATAAAAATTTAGCATCTCCAAATTTGTGATTTTAAATACAGGAAAAGTAATTCATTTTTTTTTCCTTTAAAGTATCTTAAATATCTGAATGAAACTTTGCAGTTAATCTTCTATATACTCTCACTCATACATATATAAGTCGGAACGGATTGAATATACATATGTATAGTCAGTTAATATTTTTCCAGACGTTCGGTTTTAATTTTATGAAAATCGAAAAACTATGTCATATATTTGCCATAGAATTTTCATCTACTAATAGATGTAGCTTTTTAATATTTCACAATTTCTAATTAATTTTATAAAAATCAACCACAATACCAAAAATTTATTTATATTTTACACCTAAGGTTTCTTAGTATTTTTTTGTACTCAAAAACAAAATTTAAAAATTACATAATTATAAATAGGTTTCCATTCTACATAACATAACTTCATTATTATTATTATGTATATTGTAATTGTTTATTTATTTGGACATAAGAATTAATAATTTAGTGAAGAGTTATTAAAATTGCATTTACTTTATAAAGTTAGTCATTTTATGACGTCTCTCACGGTTATGGCGCCACCTTCTTAAACTGGGAAGGCAAGACACAGCTGATAGCCAGAAACTCTGGCAACACTGGCGCGACTATCGATAGCAACCATTCCCCGCTCTCGGACAGTGTTGGAAAACAGTGCTGTTTACGTGGCAGCAAGAAGAGCAAAAAAAATCGAATTGGGAACTGACGTGGAAGTTCATTTCGCTTGAAATTATTTTTGTTTTTTAACCAACGTTCGTGCGCCGCGGCCGTCAAGAGTTGAGGCTAACATCCAGTGGCCAAAACCTATAAGCGTGTGGTCAGGAATCCGGCGTAGCAGTCCCCGAAATTGCTGAATTTGCCGAAGTGGCGAACTTTGAGCCACCGTGTTTTTTCTCTCTCTCGTTTCGCTTTTCCCCGTGAAAGTTGTTTGTTGGAGGTTTTCCCCCCGCAAAATCGGTGACTGATACGGTTTCCAGTAATGAATCCCAATATGTATGGGCCACCGCCTACGCAATTCCAGCAGCCGCCGTCACAACAGCCGCCGGCGCAGCAGCCGCAGTTTGGAGCACCTCCTCCAATTTCTGGTGCAGGCTGGCCACCTCAACAGCAGCAGCCCCAAGCGCTGCCGCCGCAGCAGCAGCAACAACAACAACAAGCACAGTATGGAGCACCACCACCGACATCGGCAGCTCCACAGACGTACCTTAATGGGAACTACCAGCAGCAGGTGAATGGGTGAATAGGTTAGGAAAGCTCGGGAAAGGATTAGCTTCCTTGGCGGAGAGCTCTTAATATGTATGCAGTGGGACATAGGAGTTGATTTTTTTTTTTTTTTTTGACTGGAGATTTAAAAAGTATACTTTTAAAGATCAATAATTTAAACACAAATTTCAATGATTAATGTAGGTATTTGCAGGAATTTTTTTCTTTCTTCAGTGGATAAATCTTTTAATATATTTACTTGGATAAATTAGCTTTGTTCGTTTGTGGGGTAGGTCAAGGTCTCACGATATTAAATATAGAATTCAATTTCGCATTTTGATTAAGGATTGCATTTACTAAAAACTGGGCTTTGTTATTGATTTTAAATATGTTTTAAATGAAATATAAAAACATATCCATTTCTTGTGTAAAATATTGTATTTCCTAATTAAACATTTACTTGTAAGCTACCCAAACATAATAATAGACCAGGAAGATGAATTAAACAACTGAAATTCAGCCTGATAAGCGTTCAATACTCTCGTCTCAGTAAAAAAAAGAGGTCATCCATGATTTCATAATGGAAGCTGAGCTTAAAGATAAGAGAGAACATTTTCCAAGTTAAATAACTCAAAATAAATCTTTCTCTTGCAGCTGGCCACGTCAATGGGTGGTTTAAGTGTAAGTGGTGGCGGTGCCAATCCCCTGAAGCCACCTCTCCCCCAAGGAGCAGCCGTTGCACCACCACCGGCAACCGGTTTCAATCAGTTCAACGCTAATGCGGCTCCACCTCCGACCGCAAACAACAACAATGCCGCATTCGGTGCTCCACCGCCTACGTCAACGGGTGGCTATGCCAACGGAGTGCCAACGCCAAGCAACACACCACAGAGCGTGGCCAGTGGGATCAATCAGATGAGCTTGAATAGTGCCAGCTTGGCGGGATTACCGCACATGCCCCCAAAGGCAGCGACGCCCGGTGGCCAGCCTCCGATTCCGGCTGCTCAGCCTCCATTGCCGGGACAGCCACCTTTGCCTGGACAACCTCCGCTTCCAGGTCAGATTCCCACATCGCAGGCAGCTCCAGCACCGGCTGCTGCTCCTTTTGGCGTGCCCAGCTCGCGACCAGGGCAGCCACTGCTGCCACCTGGCGCTATTCCTCCGACCTACACGCAACCTGGATTGCCACAGCAGCAGCAGGGATTGCCGCCACTGCAGCAACCAGGATTACCGCCACATCAGTCGGGAATACCGCCACAGCAACCGGGAGGATACCGCCCCAGCAGCCGGGAGGCTTACCGCCCCAACAACCGGGATTTCCACCGCAACAGCCGGGATTTCCGCCTCAGTCCCAGCCGGGTTTGCCACCGCAGCCAGCGGCACCCTATGGAGCACCCCAACTGGCGGATATCCAGGCAGCGGCGGCTACCCAGGGCAAGCGCCGGGCGGTTTTCCAGGAGGGCCACCGCCACTGGCTGGACAGCAGGCAGCTGCTCCACCGCAGTTCGGCGCCGCACAGCCGGGATATCCAGGTCAGCAGCCGGGCTATCCACCGCAGCCGGGTCAGCCACCTATGCCAGGCTATCCGCCACAGCCAGGACAGCAGGCAGGAGCACCCGGTTATCCACCGCAACCAGGCGGCTTTCCCGGACAGCCAGGACGTCCTGGCTTTAACCAGCCCCCGATGCCGGGAGCAGGAAACATGTACCAGCAGGCGCCGCAGCCACGGCGTCTGGATCCCGACCAAATGCCAAATCCCATCCAGGTGATGATTGAGAATCAGCGCCAGGCGGGAGGACCCTTTGTCACCAATCAGCCAGGATTGCTGCCACCTCTGGTGACCACCAAGTTTGTAGTCCATGACCAGGGCAACTCCTCGCCGCGTTTCCTGCGCTCCTCCCTGTACTGCATCCCCAACACCGGGGATCTGCTCAAGACTACAGCTCTGCCCTTGACGTTGAACATTTCGCCATTGGCCAGGACCGCTGAGGGTGAGCTGGAGCCGCCCATTGTTAACTTTGGCGACATGGGACCCATCCGGTGCAACAGATGCAAGGCTTACATGTCGCCCAACATGCAGTTCGTGGATGCAGGCCGTCGGTTCCAGTGCCTCATGTGCAAGGTGACATCCGAGGGTGAGTTATTTCTTAGAGGAATTGAAAACAATTAGATTTTTACTATGGTTTCTCTGATGTTTCAGTTCATCCGGATTACTATCAGCATCTGGATCACACTGGCCAGCGTGTGGACAAGCATGAACGGCCTGAACTGCTGCTGGGCACCTACGAATTCTTGGCCACCAAGGATTACTGTCGTGTAAGTTGCCAGGAAGCTTTGACCTTACAGAATTTAATATGTCTCCTCTTTCCCTTTAGAACAACACTCCACCAGAGATTCCAGCCTTCATTTTCATCATCGACGTCTCGTACAATACGGTCAAGTCGGGACTGGTCCACCTGCTGTGCGCCCAGATCAAGGATATACTCAAGCATTTGCCTGTGGACCAGGGACAGGACAAATCCAAGGTGCGAGTCGGCTTCATCACCTACAACAGCACCGTGCATTTCTATAACATCAAGAGCAGCCTGGCCCAGCCGCAAATGATGGTGGTTGGCGATGTCCAGGAGATGTTTATGCCACTGCTCGATGGTTTCCTCTGTCATCCAGAGGAATCGGCAGCCGTAATTGATGCTTTGATGGAGGAAATCCCACGCATGTTTGCGGACACCAAGGAAACGGAGACGATTCTGTATCCCGCCATTCAAGCCGGTTTGGAGGCTCTGAAGGCCTCAAACGCAGCCGGCAAGCTGCTGGTGTTCAACTCTACGCTGCCCATTGCAGAGGCTCCGGGCAAGCTGAAGAATCGCGACGACCGGAAACTTCTAGGCACCGATAAGGAGAAAACAGTGCTTACGCCTCAAACGACGGCTTACAATCAACTGGGCCAGGAGTGCGTGCAGCAGGGCTGCTCCGTGGATCTGTTTGTGTTCAACAATGCCTACATTGACTTGGCCACCATTGGACAGGTGTCTCGGATGACCGGCGGAGAGGTGTACAAATACACCTACTTCCAGGCGGATGTCGATGGCCAGCGCCTGATCGAAGACATCAAGAAGAACGTGTCCAGACCGATCGCTTTCGATGCAGTGATGCGAGTGCGCACATCGGCCGGCATCCGGCCCACAGAGTTCTTTGGCCATTTCTTCATGTCCAACACCACTGATGTAGAGCTGGCCAGTATTGGTAAGGATATTCAAATGGTGATTTATATTAGAAATCGAAACAATATTTAATTTCCTCTCCCATTACAGACGCCACCAAATCGATAAGCATTGAGATCAAGCACGATGACAAACTGCCGCCAGAGGAGAATGTGTATCTGCAGGTCGCTCTGCTCTATACATCGTGCAGCGGACAGCGTCGCCTGCGAGTCCTAAACCTGGCCCTGCGTGTAACCACAACGATTGCGGATGTGTTTAAGAGCTGCGACTTGGACGCCATGATGCTGTTCTTCGCCAAGCAGGCCTGCTTTAAGCTGATGGAGCACTCACCAAAGCAGGTGAAGGATAACCTAATCCATCGGTCTGCTCAGATCCTGGCCTGCTATCGAAAGCACTGCACCTCGCCCACCTCCGCCGGCCAACTGATTCTGCCCGAGTGCCTCAAGCTGCTGCCGCTGTACGCCTCGTGTTTGCTCAAAAACGATGCTGTGTCCGGCGGCTCTGACATGACGCTGGACGATCGATCTTATGTGATTCAGTTTGTCCTGTCCATGGATCTGAATCAGTCGGTTAGCTATCTGTATCCCCGTTTCATTCCCATCCACAATGCCGTGCCCGAGGATACGGATCTGCCGGCACCCGTTCGATGCACGCACGAAAAGACCCAGGAGGATGGGGCCTACATTCTGGAGAACGGTGTTCATCTGTTTGTCTGGCTGGGCCAGTCGCTGTCCCCCAATTTTGTGCAGTCCGTCTTTGGAGTCCAGGGGCTGCAGCAGCTTGCCCTGGAGAGGTTCCATATTGTGGCAGAGACGCCGCTAGCCAAGCGCATCAACAACATCCTGGAGCAGATCATGCGGGAGCGAACGCGTTGCATGAGGGTGCGTCATCATTATCTTTAAATTTGTAAGCATTTTTTTTTTATATTAATTACTATTTTCTTAAAGGTGACTTGGCTGCGACAGAACGACAAACTGGAGAGCGTGTTCCGGCACTTCCTCGTCGAGGATCGCGGCACAGATGGCTCGGCCAGCTACGTTGATTTCCTGTGTCACATGCACAAGGAGATCAAGGACCTGCTGAGTTAGCACGCCGGCTACTCCGGCACATATTACAGGCCCGAGCAGCGCTGGGTGTCCGAAAGCAGCTACTCCCAGAACCGGGCACGGATGCGTCGCCTGGCCTCCATGCGCAGTCGCCTGGGCAAATGAGTGGAGTGGTCAGATGGATAACGATCGATGGAGAGCATGAACTGGAGCTGGCGGAACATCAATTATATTTACATAAAAAATACATATACATATATATATTAATATTAATTAACGGCTATCATTTCAAGCGTATCAATTCTTCCATTAATTCTATTCAAATTTCCATATATTTTTTGTATTGTTTTACTTTTAACATATATATATATATATATTTGTATGTATTTCCGCGAAATTACTTAGAAAAATTGTTCTCTTTTTTAAATTCCATGATTAAATAATTAATGTTTAATTGTAATTACAAATTACTTTGCAAAATTTCCCACAGTTGAAAACTATTAGAAGATTACGATGATGGTTATAGTATAGGAGCCTCCTTATGTCCGGGCCCAATCGATCTTAGTTATAATGTATTTTTCTGCAATAACTTGTGCGCTGCGCCCTGCTTTTTATTGTACTTTATGTCATTGAAAGTTTATTATTATTATATTGTAACCGAAATGTTTCGTGTGAGAATTATTCAACTTGTATGGTATATATTGCCCGCTCCCTATATCAACTGGAAAAAAAAGAACTGCGTGCAGAACGACAGACAAAACAACAAAAACACTACATTTATTGAGACCGAAAAACGGAATAAAAACTCTTTATTAAAAATGAAAAGAAAATTGAATTTAAATATGTATATGGGATAGTGTGGAAAATCAATATTTTTGGTTTGCATTTCATATTATTATGACAGAAATATAAAATACATTATTTTCCAATATTTAATAATGGACCCCAAAGGTTTATACAAAGAAACGAACACATATTCCAGCATCGATTTAAGGTATATATATATTATTTGTTTATATATTTTTTTGTTTATTCGTTTTATATTTTATTAGGCCATTAAATATCTAAGAATTATTATTATTTGACGTGCACATTTTACATTTACATAAATTTTTGTTTTTCTTTTCTTCTCTCTTGTTGTTGTTCCTTCTCGTCATTCTTTTGTTTTGCTTTTTTTATATTTTCGTTTAGCAGTTAGAAAAGGTTTATATCTCAACTTCAATGTTCCCGAAATGTAATAACAATTTAAATTAAAAACATTGCCTAGATTGAATGTCGCTCCCGTGTGTTGTGAAATGTTGTCTGCTTGTGTCTGGGTGGGTGCTTACTTATTTGTGTAACTGTGTACGAATTGTTTTAGGTAACTAAGGTAAAATTGCGAAACTTGATACACGTTGTGAACTAATTTTCCACGTCGCGCAATCATATAATTTGGGAAGGAAACACACAACTGGAAATTGGCAACTAAAACATATATATAGGATACTTGACAGCTTGCACAGACTTTATCAATCTTTTCATATTATTTTTCTTAGTGTTAGATATATATAATTACAAAAACAATGCTGCAGTTTCGAATTCTCGATCGTGATCTTTTGATTTTGGAACACAACTTACTGGTTTATATAATGCTCAAGGAAATGAGAAAACGAAGGGAGACAACTGAGCAAACGCTCAGATACTATTGCAGCTTCGTTAAACACATATATGTATGTATATTTGTATAGGCATTATGGCTTAAAATATAACTATTCTCCGGAAAGTGAATTATTTTTCAATATTTTTTGGGTGGTTGCCATTTGAATAAAATCTTAACGCCCACTCACAGCAAAGTTTTGAAAACAAAAGCGCAGCAAAATGTATTCCAGATGTGGCGTATATGTTTGTGTGTGTATCGTGTGTGTTGTGTAAGAGGAGCGGAGTAGAGAATCCCTCTATTCGTAAACGCCATAAACACTGCCCACAGTATCTCATTCGCATTCGGCTTGGCCGCCTCCGTTTCAAAGTCAAGATCTAGCAGCTCCCGAACTCGCTTCATTGCCACCTCGTAATCATCATCATTCAGCGGCGCGAAAGCATTCTCGATGACATCGCTGGCGTGCGCCAGGAAGATTAGCGCCAGCATCCTTTTGTCCATGCGCTGCGGATCGTTAACCCACTTGGAGAGCACAGAATCTTGAATCTGGATGAAGAAAGTGAAAGATATTATTGATTTCCTTAACGAAGACAATCTTCTCATACACTAACCTTCTTCACCAGGCGGCACTTGACCACATTGTCGCTGAGCGGATGTGTCGTCATATCGAAGAGCAGAAAATTTTGCTTTTCCGTTGTGAGCACACCCTTCTCCACCAGATTCTTGGCCAGACGTTCGCGTACATTTTTCAGCTGGTAGCGCAATTTCAATGGATTCCAAGTCTCACCTGTCGCAACACAAACAGTATATAATTATTTAAAACTTCATTTTGGACTTGTCTGAGTATATGTACCACTGAGATATTCAATCCAGCTCTGCACCGTCTCTGGGGGATCTGTTTCCTTAATGTGTTTTAATGCCTCATCCAATAGAACATCGCCCGTCTGCTGATCCGATTTCAGAATTAATTTTCTATATAGAAGAGAACAATGGAATTGAATTTAGTTTTTGGTTTATCAAAGATGCTATATTGTTTACAATAATTACCTTGTACATAGGCCACGTCGTCGCATTCCAGATTTCTCGATCATCACTCGACCTCGCAGTCCAAGTTCTATGAGAATGCATCCGCGCAAACCGCTTGATATGCAGTCGTTCCAGAACGATGTGTAGCCCTGAAAGGAGTAGGAGTTTTTTGTTTATAGAATTTAAATAGAAACAGTAAGTTTATGTGCATCAAATTTACTTCCTTGCTTTCACAAATTAATTTTATATGAACGCCTGTTTAAACAAATAAAAAGTGGTCTGTTCTCATAGGGGAACCGTGGAAAAAAATGAATAATTAAGATGTTGCCAGGGACGGAAAGTTCTCAGACGACAGAATACAGTTGATTAAACATTAAACACTTGAGTTTACTTAGGCTTTACAAATAGAACCAAACAATGTGTCATATCAGAAAGAAAATAACTTGTGAGATCTGTTAAGAAACTAACGATAGAAACTTTTATTATCAATGAGTAGGTAGTAACCTTTTTTTATAAAGTAAAATACATAAAGCCACAATAGTATATACAAATATATAGGTATGAAATCCCTACAATGGGAATATCCCAAAAACAATAGATTGAAAAGATTTTAAAAATTGGACCTAAAAGATAAAGCTTAACATAAAAACCTTTAATCGAACAGAAATTAGTTGACGTACAAAACAGAGATAAGAATATGCCATCGATAAATTAATACCAGGATGATAATAACAACCGATCATGTACTTATATCTTTATAAACAATTTGTAATTATAACTTTCAAGTCAAAAGTTTAAACTTTATATAAAATAAGATAAACGTGGCATAACATTAGTATTACTTTCTAAATATTAAACCTATAAAAGATAAGTATACCTACATATTTACTATTAAAAAAGGTTGCGCAACCAGACCATAAAAATGAATCATTTGCAATTCGAATAATAGAAAATGTCGCTTATCGTGATTTTAAAACCCTCGTAATGGGTATAGTATATAGAACACACATCATTTCAAATAATGAATGACGTTTTGTGACAGATAAGAGAGTGCCGACGAGGAATGTGGGAAGTCGACGAGAGCGGGACCGTTTTAGAAGCACTTCCTCAAGCAATTAACCAAATGGAAGAAGTGTTTCCAGTGATAAGAGCACAAAGCGGATGGAGGGGGCAGAAGTGGGACAAGAACTAAGACAAAAGCTAGAGGCAACAAGCTACCTATCTCTCTCCTCCCCCTGGGGGTTTTTCGTACACTGCGGACAAAATAATAATAAACAACAAATAGATGTGGTTGGTTGCCATCACTCACACAGCTGAATGTTTTTCGCTATATGCGAACGGGCAAATTGAGCGATAAAAGTGCTGGGAGGCAGAAGTGAAATACAATAAGCGAATTCAATGGAGAAAATGGGATTCTGCCGGTTAGCTATAATGGGTTTGGGGACAGGGCACGTACGTTTGGAGCCGATTCGCTTTATGGATAGCATCCCAAAAATTATGCGGAGATTTATGAATATTTCAATCGTATGCAAATTAAGTGGGCACCTCTCCAATGGGAAAACTCGTTTGACGGTATGCTACTAAGAGCTTCGTGATGAGTCTCGTTTGAGTGGAGTTTTCAAAAGGGGAATCGCTGTAATTGGGTAGATTTGCACAAACACAGGTGTAGCTGGGAATTATCTAATCAAAGAACTGAAAGATAGTAGTGTGCAAATATTGTACGGCCTTAAAAGCACGTTTTTTATTTTATCTGGCTAAGTGAATTTCAATTATCGCTGATAACTACTTCTAAGAATTTACATATCTCAATACCTGGAAGAAAATAGTAGCTATACTATTAAAAATTATCCATAAGGTAACTGAATCTTAATCAACAAATATGTGTACTATCGGTAGAAAAAAACAAGACAACTTGAAACAAGAAAATTAGCTTCGGGAAGCCGAAGTTAATATACCCTTTTAAGTTTGCAATCAAATCAAAAGATCATAGCTTAAGCTTAACTAAGCTTTAAATATTGGAATTCTTTAAATCAATGAGAATGTTTCGACAAATCAAAGTTTAAAAACTTTCCTCACAGCATCACAAGCTTCTGACTGATACTATATTACTCTGAAAGGGTATTAAAAAGCTTATTATATGCTGAGTACAGCAGTTTTACTTTAAAAGATTATATTTTAAGCTTTAGTTTGCTTTCACACTGAAACGTAGTAAACCATTTCAGCTATAAAGATTAGAAGAACTGCTGCCAATGGAATAAAAAACCCAAAACACTTTGATAAGAGTTGTCGAAGACGAAGCTTTGCATTTATTTATGGCCACAACAAAAGATTTTAGAGAAGCGCTATTGGCACGTTAATTGTGCATTACTCATCTGGCCAAGAGATTTCAAAGTTTATATTGCACAACAAACTGGTAAAGCTGAGGTGAAGTTGAAGAGGCATGGGTGGCCACAAAACTATCAAATAAACATAGAAGGGGCCTAGTGTTGTACTGACAAAACATGGGAAAAAGGGTTAATTAATAACGTAAGTTAAAGAAGATTAAATTATTTAACTCATATTAGAACTTTAACTTTAGAATGCTGATTAGTTGCTCATAATCAACTCATAACCAAGTGATTTTCAATAAATCCTCTCATATATTTCCCTATTGGGTATAATACCAATCACAACTTTGCCTAACATCCTCTCATACATTTTCTTATTAGAGAATATGATCATTACCCCTTTGACTGAGATCCCCTTTCAACTAAGCCCCTGCTGCCTACAGATGGACCACTATGCACTTGGGGGCCAAACAAAAGGTTGCCAAAGTGGGAGCGAGATGGCAGTTAACAGGTGAAGAAGCTTCCGAATATGCTGCTTTTGATTAACATGCTCGTGTTGTGAAAGGGAAAACCAATTAATTAGCGAAACCAGGAAAATGTTGCAAGCAAAATAGATAAAGTGGAGCATCCTCCAACAACTCACCTCCTTGTCCTTGAGCCCCAGCAGCAGGACCTCCTCCATGAGCGTTAGCCGGGTCTCCTTGGAGTCGCCATCATCGATATTGTCCTCCTGGTCCTTGAGACCGTCGATCGCCTCCTGATTGTCATCCGGCGTATTGGCATTCAGGCCGCCCTCCGCGCCGTTTTCCCTCGGCTTCACCGAGCGTCGCACCAAGCCGTCGGACCGATTCATTTCGCCGGAGACTTGGAAACGCGAATTTTTAGAGTTTATGGAGATGTGGGCACCTCTTTTTCAGCTCTTCTTCTTCCGTCTTGTGTGTGTGGCAGAATTTGCTGACTCGGCGCTGGAGTTTTGTGTTGTGTGTATGAGTGTGGTATGTATGTGCAGATGTGGGTGGCTCTGTTGTGTGTGCGTGTGTTGTGTTTTTGTGTGTTGTTGTTTTCGCTGCTTCTTTTGCGCTCTTCCTCTTTTGGTTTTTGCACACACGCACTTTTCACACTCTCGCAAAATGCAATGGCCCAGAACTGCGTTTCGTTGTTGCTGCTGGGCGAACTGCGTGTTTAAAACTCTACAATTTATTTCACAATTTGGCGGCGCGTACTAAATATGCAATTGCATGGCTTTAAATTTACTGGGAATTATACGAATTCCAGCGCAAAATAAGCTTTTTTATTATTTGTGTCTTTTGTCGTTGCTACTGTTTCTTTGACGTGACATTTTTCCATGGCTAGTGTTGGAAAACGCTCCCAACAATAGGTTCTGCTAAAAGCAGTGTTATTTCTTTCTTTGCCGCAAATAATAATCAAAACGTATTAATTCCGTTCCGAAATTAAATACATAAATTAGTTCTTCAATTAAGTATTTCGATTAATATTGCTAATTTTGTTTGTGAACACTCAACAGCTGATTTAAGGGCAGTGCCGTCAATAGTTCAATCGATAGTTTAGTAACTATCGATAAGTGGGAGAGACAGCAACAAACAAAAAGTGCAAATTGTTGAATATTTTTGTGAAATTACCAAGAGTTACTGCCACTTGAACGTTTATTATGTCATATTTGGCCAATTTCAACAATGAGAATGCTAAACAAATACTTATGGACATCATTCGTTGTGTCAACCAGCCGGAAAACTCCAAGAAACTCTCAGAAGCAAAGGCCTCGGCTGGAAAAGAGATGATTCTCATGATGCAGCACGTAAATAAGGATAATTTAAGCATAATGTTCCATAGCTCAAGTATGTTTTCGATTTTTAGGTATTTCCTTTGGTCATGCAACTCCAGCTGGAGGTAATCAAGGGACATGGTTTTCCTGGTAACCGCGAGGGATTAGTTCAGTTCTCACAACTCATCCGGGAAATGGAGCGCGACGACATGGAAATAGCACGCCTGCGCAGCCAGATACGAGCTATATACCTGCCACCCATAGCTATAAATACCACAAACGATATCCTAATCTAGGGGACCCCATCAAGACTGTACGGCTGGCCTAGTTCGGGTTACTTAAATTCTTCTTTTACAAGACTGCCACCAATTTGTATTATTTCTTTGATTCTTTAAGCATATTTACGAACTCTTCTAATTGGTATAATATTTGTATATTCCATACGACGTAAACCCAAGCCAGTCCCATTTAATAGACTTAAGTTTGATGTTCTTAAAAAATGCATTTCTTTTTTATACAATTTGTGTGTGGTCTTTGTGTATCGATGTGTAGAAATGGTCTTGTTCGTCTTTATTGCTAAGAATAAGTAACATGGCATAGCTTTCTATAAACAATTAAGGATCTGTGCCGGTCGTCTAGGATCTAGGATATGTCGAGCAGTCACGGCGATAAATTAACCAGTTTTTAGTTTCAATACCTATATAATAAGTTCCTTAAGAGCTATACTTTTATGTACACGTCAAGTAGTGAGCTGCCCGTCTCGTGAAAACAATTAGGCGAGGATAACTAGTAACAAGTGTGGATTCCCTAATGCGCTGACCTGCCATTGGTAGTGCTGTTGTTATTATTGCCATTCTCGAGGTCTGCAGATGTCAGCTTCACAGGACTAATGCCTTGCGTTATATCGTTGCCATTGAGTTTGTGCTGCAGATGTTGCATCTGCTGGGCGATGTGAGCATCTTCCGCCTGCGTAATGCTCTCCGAATCCGCAATGGAGAGCGACATGGGCGAGCGCGGCGTAAGGGGAGTGGCAGGATTGCTGACGCACAGCTCTTCGATTGTCGAGTCGCTGTTACTGGAAGGCGTTGAAGACCGCGACCTTACCGGATACTCATCATCTAGAGGCAGGGCAAACCCTTGTGTGATCATCAAATCACCGATATTCACTTCAACACCATCAGCAGGATCGAATAATTCCACGCCGGGCAGCGGAGTGCCCTCCTTGGCGGCGGAAGTTAAGGCGGCAGTGTTGGCTGCCTTTGGGCGCTCCTTGTAGGTTACTACTCGGGCAATAAGCTTCCTCCAGTGGGCCACTAAAAAATGAGGAAGAATTAGATTCTGGTTGTTTATTAGCTATTTTAGATCAGTCCTTACCCTCTGTAAGCTCTTCAAACTTGGCTATGGATGATTTTTGCCAGGTTATAGGCTCCGTTTGAATAGTAGACTTGACATTGGCCAAAAAGCACTCCACAGCTTGGAATCTTATAAGATTTAACATAGATAAACACAAGAATTATTAAAGGTTTTTACTTATTGAAGGGTTTCCTACCTGAGAGTTAGGAAATCAGTGCGTAGCTCACAGATATCCGCTGGCGAGATGTACTCGCTATCTCCATAGTCCACAAAGTACAGATCGATCACCTGCTCTTGTGGATTATACTGGTTGGGCATAATGTCCACGATCTCAGCTCTATACCACTTCTCATCGAACTTAAAGACGGCAGCCACAATCTGGCCAATATAGGGAGCAGTTAGTACATGCTTGGCCCTGTTCTCGGCACTACTGTAATAGCTGGTCATCTCCTGGACCATGTGATCCAGCTTCTTAGACTGCGGACCAATCAGTTGCACCCAGAACTTGGTGGGCGAGGCCACAGCAGAAACATAAACCTCCATGGGCTTGCCATCGCCCTTGGCCGCCATCAGTTTATCCCTTGGTTGGGTGTGCGAACTCAGAGATGTCTGCGACGAGTACATGCTGGAGGAGGCGATGCTGTTGGTCGGTGATCGACGGGGTTCGCGACGCTGTTCCACTTCTTCCATAGATCGCAGTAGTTCCTCGTCCTCCTCTATCTGATCGTCCATCATTTTCCGCGCTATATTCACCTGTTTCTGGTTGCCCACGATGGTGACTTTGGCTTTGCCATTTCGTCCATTCGGATCAATGTTTAGCTTGGCCAGCGAGGTGCTCCGGATCTCCTGAATCAGCTCACCGCCGCGTCCATTTAGTTTGCTGGCCAATCTTTGGGGCACTTGAAGCTCTACTTTCACCATGGGCGCTCTCTCAATCTCCTTAATTAGCAGGACACGGGCGGCCTTTACAGCATCGGGCAGACCGGTAATGTCACAGAATTTGTGTCCACTGTCCTTGTCTCTGTGGGATCAAAAACGTATATATATTTATTTTTGTAATACAATACTTTGAAGTGAATTTAAAATTCGACTCCCACGTTTGATCGAATTTAAATCCAATTACCGTAATCTTATCTTGGCCAAAGTTTTTTCTTCAATCAACTTGATATTGGAACCACCGCGTCCCATTATTAGGGGCACATGCTCATTGTCGACGACTATTTTGAGACAGACTTCCTTTTGTGGCTTCTGCTCCTGCTGGCTCTGGGCCCCATTCCTTGATCTGGGCTCCTGTCCCTCCTCCTCCTCGTCGTGGCGGTTCTTAAAGTACGCGTATAACATGGCTCCGCCTAGGGAGCAGAGGCCGAAGCCCAGTAATAATTTGTAGGTGGGCGTGGCCCCAAAAGGCGTATTACGCAACATTTTGTAAGTGTGTGGGTGGATATGACCCTTTTTTAGTTTTGTGTGTAGAAAGAGGAGTCTGTTGAACTCCTAGTTATCTTTTTCAAGAGGACCACAGCTGTAAATATAGAAAATAAATAGCAAATTATTTAAGTGATATAGTAAAATATATTTAATTTTCCTTCTTGCCTCTTTAAATGTTCTTAAACACACAACTATAATCCCCAAAACAAATGACAAAATATTAAAAATAAATAAAAAGCATATAAAGAATATTATTCAAGGTCTTGTTCTCATATGTTAATAACTTTTGCGTGTGCTAGGAACACATAAAAATAGAACAACAAGTTCAAGAGCATTTCAAGCCCTAAGGTGACTGGTACAAGCATTAATGTCTAGTCTAATTGAATCAATAAAGGTTTAGTGGCATGCCAATGAGCTATACCTCCTTTCTTATATAATACCAACCACCAGCTGGATATTATTATTCTTTTTTGACAAATACCTGAAGAGAACAAATTCAAACCACAAGCAACACAATGACTTCATAATTAAAATAGTTTAGGTAAGAGCAGTGCACGGGAAAAAATAGACAAGTGACGTTACCGGTCGGCGACTACACTGAGCGTAAAATGAGAAATTTTAACAACTTACAGCACAGATATTAGCCATTTTAGTATACCCAATTTTGGGCTGTTGAAAAAGAGCAATTTTTCAAAGAAACAAACAAATAATTTAGTGTGTTTGATGGAAATTTCATGACTTGTGTAAGAATTTCGTGTCTCAGAGAGCACAAAAAGCAAAAGGTCATAAAAGTTTCATGTGCAGTTCCAATTTTATTACCACAAATAACGTAATGTGGATGCATCACCAAAAATAATAGACCATAAAACTAGAAAAGTAATCAAGCTAATACAAAGCTATTTTGAACAGGGATCGCACACATTAAAAATCGATTATTGAAGTTCTGAAACTCTAATTTCAAATTTTCTAAACTGAAAAACATAGTGTTAAAGTTATCGAAGAGATTAAGTACTTGGTAAGAAAATTATGTTTTCAGCAGATAAATAAGGATCAAAAGATGAGTCAAATCTGAATAAAATACGTTTATAACAAAAGAATAACAAAATATATTTTTGATTTCATTATTTAATATGACATGTTAGATTCATAAAATACTCAATTGTTCTGAATTAAATTAAAGACATATTTTTACAGTACATCCTTCCGGCTTTCTTAGTCATTATCCTCTGACTATATATCACTTGTTGAGCCTCAATAGATCACAATGTTGCCGAGACTTTGCACTGGTTTTTGGACAAGTTAAACGAGTTTTTATGCGCTCATTGGCGTTATCAGACCGGTTTAGCCTTTAGGCCCCATTAAAAGCATGAATGCAGGTTGCCACTTATCACCAACTGATAATATTGAAGTCCCCCCCAAATATTTATATTTTTAGCCATATGTAAACACACGAAAAATACACTTAATTTACGCGATTTAATTACTTTTGGCTCTGACCTTGATCGTGAATTCGTGCGATTGTTTATTTAAACGTTTTCCGCCAAGCTTTTGGTATTGGCAATAAAAATAAAGCCGCTTAAACTCAATCAAGCGTTTTATTGCAATGCAACAGCTCGTTTGTTTGGTCTCTGCACATTTTCGCGTCTCGTCTTTCGTTTGAAATAATCGTAAATAATATTTGTTTAATTAACGTTGAATACTCGCGGGTGGAAGCTTGAGTTCGCCTCTACATTTCAGCCATAACTGAGGAAAGGAAAACTTTTTAAAACAGACGGCAAAGCAATTACGAGAGCACAAAGTCAGC